CCCCGCCCCCCCGGCCACTGCTGATGATACGGGTGGATTCCAGCGCCGGCCATGGAGGATACCCTAGAGATGGAAAGAGGGGCGCGAGACAGAGAAAAGGCTTCTCCTTTGTCCCAATGCTTCGTTCCCTGAATGAAATGAACGATGACAGATCCAACTTAAAGTCACGTGCTTCGCACGTGTGATGGATGTTAGAGAAACTGCTTACACGGTAATTTCTAGATAGTAATAAGTTAATAACTTGGCTTCCAAACGATTTACATTAAAAAAAACTTGGCTCCGCAAGTTGTTTTAAAATAACCTTGTAACAATTTTCTAAATTTTATATCAGACGGTTCTTAAACATTAGTGAATTTTTTATATATTTCACAACTATATGTATATATGTTTAAACAAAACTATATGTATATATATATTGATATAGTATCAATGCTTCATGCATGGATCATTCTTTTCTTTATACTATCATTTTGAGTGATGAGAGTTATTAGCATGAAATATTTTGATACAAAACTTGTATAATCATATCTTAATTTCGAAATAAATAATCTCGTTACTCAAAAGAATATAATTATAATCATCACGTGTTGATGGGTTATACGTAATTTTGTTTTTCGGAGAATCTAGATGGATTCCATGCCCGAATGGGCGTTGATTAAATAGCAAGATTACAAAAAAAAAACACCATTTCGATATACCATATATATATCGGGATACAACCTAAAATTTATATAATAAAAAATAAGAAATAAATAGGGGAATTGATAATCGTGTCTCACGTATAATATGGTCCACCGATTCCGATCACTCTATAATTTTTTTCTTTTATGTATATATGTATATGCTTTTGATACATCAGATATTTGATGAATCTTATCTAGTTTTAGTCGCTACTCGCTATTAAAGACACTTTGATTTTACTTTCTATAATGTGTGGCCCTAGAATGGAATGTTACATGGTCCGACGTCCTTTTGGATATATCTCCTTTCTTGACTTTGGAGGTGGCCAAAATATCCGAAAAAACCGAACCAATATGTTATTCGATTCGTATCCGAACCGAAAATTTAGATATCCGGAATTTACGGATTGGATACGAATATTTATTTGGAGATACTTATCTGATATGGATATCAAAATTAAATTATCCGACATATCCGATCCGATCTGTATTTTATAATAATATTATTAAATCTAAAAATAATTTGGTACGAAGATTTTAAATGTTTAATATTTGCATATTTTTTAGGGTGATTCAAAAAATATTTTATATATATTGAGTTTTATGATGTTTAAACTTTTAAATACGAAAGATTTATAATGTTTTGAAGTTTGAATTTTGAATATATTTATATGTGATAGACTATGATTGCATTTGTATTTGTGTTGCTTTAGAATGTTTAAATTCTGAATAAAGTTTATATTAAATAGATTATACATTTTATTTACATTTGAGTTTGCTATTTAAATTTAATTTAAATTTTTATAATGTTTTAGATCGGATACGGAAATCCGTAAATATCTGTGATTTTTACGGATATCCGAAATTGTGGATATTCGAAAAATACCAATCGGATACGGATAATAAATCGAATATTTTTCTGCATCGAATACGGATACGGATATCTCAAAAATCTCGAATATCCGATCTGTGTCCATATCTACTTGCCTTCTTCTAATTTTGAAAAAATAACTAAAATTTTAATTTGATATAATTAATACTTTAAAGTTTTAATATAAAAACGAAATTTATAAAATCGTTGATAATTTTATTCTGACGATAATATATAAATTTAATATTAATTTTGATATAAAAACGAATAAAAACTATAAACTATTCTCGATTTTTTATTATATATCTATATAAAATTAAAAAAAATTAGTATTTATTGGATATACAGTTGAATTATTTAGATGAGATTTTCTTTTTTTTTTTAATATTTACAATTGCTTTTTCCTTTTTCCATTATTTTCTCTTTTTAAATTCCGATCAAAAGCTATTCCCACGCGAAACACAACCGACGTGTAGTAACGCACCAAACCCAGGGTTGTTTCACGATGCGCGTTTGTATCACGCGCCTTATACGAGCGTTGAGTCTCACTATCTAACCATTTTTTATTATTATTTTGTCGCTCTGTTATAACTTCGCTTTTCTTGTCTTGTTTTTTCTCCTCCTCCTCTTCGAAGAACCTTCATCCTCTTCGGTGTCCGTTTTCTCTTTGAATCGATCGCCTCGAAGAACTAATCAAACCTCACCAAACCCTAGAAGAAGACGACGACGAAGACGAAGACGAAGAAGACGACCATGGACCTGATCATGGAGGAGGTATAACAAACCCTTGACAGAGCCCTCGAGGATTTGATATTCAGATCGTGGAACAGTGAGAATCGAGGAGCTTGAATTCGATCCGTCGCGCTCCTGAGCCATGAGACCGATGCAATCACCTCCTGAACTATCCGCGCCTTCTCGGAGCCGTCCCCGTAAGCGACCGGACCTGACCTTACCGCTCCCTCAGCGCGATGTATCCCTCGCTGTGCCTCTCCCTCTCCCGCCGACGTCCGGCGGCCATGCGTCATCGACGCCGGACACCTGCAACAACAGCTCCGCCGCCAGGAGCTTGTCGGAGCTGGAGCGTGTGAACCGGATCGGCAGCGGCGCGGGCGGGACGGTTTACAAGGTGATCCACAGGCCGACGTCGAAACTGTACGCACTGAAGGTGATCTATGGGAACCACGATGACATGGTCCGTCGTCAGATCTGTAGGGAGATCGAGATCCTTCGCGGTGTGGACCACCCAAACGTGGTGAAATGCCATCAAATGTTCGACCACAACGGCGAGATCCAGGTTCTGCTTGAGTTCATGGACAAAGGGTCTCTAGAAGGAGTCCATGTGTGGCAGGAGCAGCAGCTCGCGGACCTTTCCCGGCAGGTTCTCTTAGTGAATTTTTTATATATTTCACAACTATATGTATATATGTTTAAACAAAACTATATGTATATATATATTGATATAGTATCAATGCTTCATGCATGGATCATTCTTTTCTTTATACTATCATTTTGAGTGATGAGAGTTATTAGCATGAAATATTTTGATACAAAACTTGTATAATCATATCTTAATTTCGAAATAAATAATCTCGTTACTCAAAAGAATATAATTATAATCATCACGTATCTCCTCATAAACTCCGCCAAAAACGTGAAGATCGCTGACTTCGGAGTGAGCCGGATCCTTTCCCAGACCATGGATCCGTGCAATTCATCGGTGGGAACCATCGCGTACATGAGCCCCGAGCGGATTAACACCGACCTGAATCATGGGCAGTACGACGGCTACGCGGGGGATATATGGAGCTTGGGCGTGAGCATCCTTGAGTTCTACTTGGGGAGATTTCCCTTCGCTGTGAGCCGACAAGGTGACTGGGCAAGCCTCATGTGCGCCATTTGCATGTCTCAGCCGCCGGAGGCTCCTCCGTCGGCGTCGGTGGAGTTCCGATACTTCATCTCGTGTTGCCTGCAGAGAGAACCGGCGAAGAGGTGGAGTACGCAGCAGCTCTTGCAGCATCCCTTCATACTGAGAGCAAGCAGAGCCCAAAACCAGCCTCTTCCGAATCTTCATCAGCTCTTGCCACCCCCTCGTCCTCTGTCTTCTTCCTCATCCCCGGCATCGTAGTGTTTCGTCCCTTACCTTTTCTTACCTCAAAATCGTTACTTTCCTTGTTCTTGTCTATCTTTCTTATTCCTGACAATTTTTGCGCGCATTTTCCATACCCAACCAAAAAAAAAAGTATTGAAGATGGGGGAAGAATTGTGATGAAGGGTCTGATCCATAGGGAGTAAAAACATGGTGGAAGAGGAGATAGTAGGGGGGGATCTCATGTTTTAGGGTTTATTGATACTTCTTAAGAGCTACTGAGCTACATCAGTTTATCAAACCTCAATTTGCCCTTTGGTAATGTTTTGTTAGAAAGGGAAAGGACAACAAAGAATCCTTCTTACTTATTGATGGAAATGTCTTTGCCTGGATCTGATACAGCTTGATTGTTTATACCAGGAAATGCTGGATGATCTTCCATTTGTTGAAATTTCATAAAACTTTTGCCATTTATGTTTTGTTGTTTGGTGAATAATCATTCCTGGGCTATTGCTGTGGGGAAGATTCGTTCTCATCTTACCATATATGGTTTATGCCTAGGGTTTAGATTTTTTGGCAATTTTCTGATTACTTCGTCGAAAAGTAAATCTTCTTTATGACCCTACTATCGACTAAATTTCCTGGTTCTCTAGCAATTAGAAAGCAATGCTTTAGTCATGATGCGTTCATCTGTTGGTAAATCTGAGCACTTGTGAATGGTTTTTATCTTCTTCTGTTTGAACCTAGTTTCGTATTTTTTCTCTCCTATATTGTAATAGCTATGTTATTTTTAGGATGATCTGATGTTTGCATATAATTAATTTATAAATATCCTTTTCCCTAGTCATATAATCTTAGATGGAAGGCTCTAAACCTTGTCGCACCATGTATGTTTGATGCCTAGGGTTTAGCCTAATGTTCTGGTTACTTTGGTGAAAACTAGTGCTTATACATGACCCAGTGATTGACAAAAGTTTTGTGAGTACCTAACAATTGGTAGAAAGTAATGCGGTACCCTGTTTGCATTCATCTGCTCGTAAACCCGGCGACTGGATGTTTCCATCCATTGTTTGCACTTAGTTTCATTTAATCTATCTTGTCTTGGGAATGTGTTCTGTATATGTAAGAATAGCCTTGATGTTAGAAAATGATTAGTCCATAGATGTTCTTCAACCGCGTTGTATAGCATCGGTCCGTTGAGGTGCCTAGAGGTCATATACACAGGTGTCCTATTCAGGTGCGAAACTCTAGGACCTCGTCTTACCATATATGATTAATTTAGGGTTTAGATGTGTCTTTAGTGTTCTAATTACTTTGATGAAAAGTTGAAAACTAATGTTGTTTTATGAACCTGCAATTGACAAAATCTTTTGTGATTCTCTAGCAATTGGTAGAAAGCAATGTGTTCATGACTTGCAAAGGGCCGTTTTCTTCGTGCCATTTATGGTTATAATGCCTAGGACATTGCTAGCCTTCTTCGAAAATCGAAGCTTGTTCATGACTTTACTTGCTACCTTTAATTCTTTTTCTGTCTTTTTCTTACAAGGGTTCTGCTTTCTGCTGTTGTGGACTTTACTTGGATGTTTAAATATGACGGTTAATTAGTTAGATTAGATGTTCTTGCATCATGCATTGCCGTCTAGTTCGATCTAGTTGTGGTGCTTAGGAATCATCATAGTCAAGCGCCCTGTTCTGGCCTTAGGCTCGGAACCTCAAGCCGAAAGTTTACCATATGAATTGTCTTGTTCGGTTTTTTTGTCTACATTAGTTATGGATAGAAAGATGCAACCTTCTTGATAGTTTCGTGCAATAGGTTAAGAAAAGGTTATTACCAGTTATGGTGGGCTTATTACCGCGACATCTTCAATTCGTTTTACAGTACTTTTGTGGTAATAATATCGTTGGTTGGGTTGGATCTTTTGTTAATACAGATGTATAATGGAAAGAGCAGGCGCTTGAACTTGTTTCCCGACTTTTTACCATGCTCGTCTCTCATTTGTGGCAATCCTTCTCTCCAGGTTAGTTTCTGAAATCTATGCCGTTTGATTCGTCGGGTATTAGGTTACACGAGGATTTTCCGGCCATGATTTCGTTTCCGATTTTCGGTTTCCCTGTAATGGGTGCGTTTCTGCTGTAGAAAATGTATCTTATAGTTCTGGAAAGAACTAAAAGAAACATGAAAGAGCCGAGGAGTTCCTGTTTTTAAGATGTGGATTGATGTCTGAAACAAGCAAGAATAGGAACACACCCGATCCGTTGGTTTCTTAGGTTTAGAGGCTGAGTTTAGTAAATGGAAAGTTCGACATCATTAGAAAATGGATAATAGGAATTCTGAAACCTCGTACAGCGGAGACGGCGACTTTCGGCTCCACCTTATTTCGGGTGCTCGGCTTCCAGCTTTGTCCTGAGTTCTTTCCTCAAGATTTTACCCGACGGCGCTTTCGGGATTGCATCTAGAAAAAACACTGCCTTTATTCTCTTGTAATGCACCACCTACACTCACCATACCCGTATTCCAATCATCGGGTTTTCGGAATTCATCAATTTGAACAATATATCTATGGTTGGCGTTTCATGTTTCGGTTAATACCTGCTTGTTGATGAAGTCCTTCACACCGTCTTCGTTTAGCTTAGACCCTTGTGACCTAACCACGAAAGCCACCGGGACCTCATCCGCCACTTCGTCTCTCATCCTGGACGGTTCGAGATGGTTACAATGTAAATCCGAGACACCGAGTGTGTTTCGGAGATTATCGAGGAAAAAAGGAGAGATTAGGTAACGGTATTTCTCACCCGATAACTGCGGCATCCTCTATCTCGGGAAGGGAGATTAACAAGTTCTCGAGCTCGGCCGGAGCCACCTGGTAACCTTTGTACTTGATCAACTCTTTCATCCGATCAACGATGAAGAGCTCGTCGTCTTCATCCATGTACCCAACGTCTCCCGTGTGTAGCCACCCGTCTTCGTCTATTGTTCTCGCGGTGGCCTCGGGATCATTCAGATACCCTAATTACACCGAATGACCCACGACGTCGTTTATAACATCCCAAAAAAAAAAGAGAAGGGTGATTCCGAAGGGTATTACCTTTCATGAGTTGATCGCCTCGGATGCAGATTTCGCCGGGGTGATTTCGGGGCAAGGAGGCTCGGGTCGTCGGGTCGACGATTTTCATCTGAGCGTTTCGAACGACGGTGCCACAAGCTCCCGATTTGGCTTCGAACGGTTCTCTTGCAAACGCCAATGACTTCGCCAACGTCCCTGCCTCCGTCATTCCGTATCCCTGTAATTTTTTTTTATCACAGCCCGTGGTAAAAAAAAACATAACCAAACAAAAAAAAAAGACATTGGAGGATTTGTCGCCATGTATTTTTTTTATAACGGTGGGAACCTGCCATACGGTCCTTTGGGCCAGACTCCGGCCGCCCCAACCCTAAGGCTGGATAGTCGGTATGCCGATAGTAAACCTCCGACCCTGCGCAATAGCAGGTAAACCAGCCGAAACTGACCGACTCAAGGGGAAGTTCAGCATGGGTGGGTTTCGAACTCACAACCTTATGGGTAATGTGAGTTGTCACTAACCAACCGATCTGGTTTCCCCTGTCCCCACGTATTTTATTACATATAAACGTGTTTGTATTCGTCTATGTAAAAAAACGTGTAAATATGTGTGTGTGTGTGTGTGTAATTGTTCTCTGGATATTGATCTGTGTGTGGTGGTCCAATGCCCTTCCGTTATCATTAAATTTGCAATACGTTACAGTCTTTATAACATTCGGTGTCATCCCTCGGCCTTACATTTATGTGGGAGACAATAATGCATGAATATATATATATATATATATATATAGCTATTTAGATATGTATTGAGAAAACTACAAACTATACGGGGAGTAATAAAATAAAAAGAGAATAAAAGCACCATAGTGAGTGATTTGGTGGGCAATGGCTTTGGTCCAAAACATGACAATACGAGAGTAACTTTCCAAGCAGTGATGTCAATCCACTGAACAAATTTAATAATCGGACCAACTTTCTCCCCCCCCTTTTGTTTTTTGGTCTGCGTGGTTGGTTCCCACTTGATAGTGATCAAGTGCGCATTTGCGTTACATACAAAATGGATATAATTGATCCAAATGATTGTACCATTGCTATGCTGTCTATGTATATATATGCCAATGATCTTGTATTATAAGATTTGAAAGGTATATATATATATATATATATATATATATATTGATAGATTTAAACGAAATTATAAAAAAAAAAGGGTACATGGACATATAAGCATACGAATAGCAATCAATGAGGTTTTTTTTTGGTGGTGAAGTGTATGTTATTTGTTTATTTATTTTTGTCATATGTTTTAGTTACAAAGTGGATCCCAGTAGTTGGCTGGTTATGTTATTTATTTATTTTTGTTATATGTTCACATTCTGTATCGAACGCAAAGTGTGGTGAAATTATGAGTGATAATGAAAATAAAAAAAAATGTTTAGACCTTGGTACTTAGTAGTTGGCTGGTTATGTGTCAAACCTTACACCAACTTCTAAATAATTAGATTATTTAAATAATTACATCATTGTTATAAAAGGCTGGTTGACAAACCCTTGATATAGTATTTTTTATAGTAATATTATATTTTAAAGTTTATTGTTTTGTCGTTAATATGATAATATTTTAAAAAAGTATACACATTCATATAAAAAGAAATAAAGTTTATAGATTTTCTCAAATAATGTAATCAGCATAAATTTCATTTAATTTTCTATAGAATACTATATTATTAAAGTTTGATTTCTTTTAAATTTCTTATTGCCGAGGATCCGACACATGGACACCTACTGCATTGATCCACTGCTTCTCTCACCAACTCCACTTTGGTCTCATTCGAACATGACGATTCTTATATATATATATAAACATGTGTGGGACAAAATTTCATGTATTAAATTTAAATTACACATAGTCTTTTCAATTTTAAAAAACTTTTAAAGTTTAATACGCCTAATTGTCAAACGTTAATTGAAAATACTATATTTTTCTTGCTGTTATTATGTTTGTGATTACTTAAACCATTTGTCGGATATTTTATGTATCTTTGAAATGTTGGTAAGAGAGGGTTGGCCCACCACTACCACCAGCACGTTTTTTTATATGATTGTAGAGAAGAAAAAAAACGCAACAAACGCAGACGCAAACGCAAACGCACCTGACCGAAAACGGCGTTTGGGAACCTGAGGCGGACGGCCTCTTCGAGCTCCTTCTTCACGGCAGCGGCGCCGCACATCACCATCCTCACCGTTCTCAAGTCGTACTTCTCCGCCTCCGGCGACTTCACCACCGCCAACACCACCGGCGGCGCCACCGGAGCCACCGTCACCTTGTACCTACAGAGTTCCGTCACATCACACGTTCATTTCCTTCGTCCCATTCTCTCTCCTGTAATGGCTAATTCTCCTAATTAAGTTCTGAAAATCTCGGAACAGAATCTGAGGATAGACTCACCTCTGAATCAGCTCGAGAACGAGAGAAAGCTCGAAACGAGGAACGATCAATAAGGCGGCTCCGGCTCTGATTCCCGACAGAAGAAGCGCGTCGAGGGCGAAGATGTGAAACATGGGCAAGAAACAGAGGATCACATCTCCTTCCTTGTAATCCAAGTTAGGGTTTTCTCCATCCACTTTCTGAGCTATACTCGTAACCATCCCTTTGTGCGTTATCATCACTCCCTTCGGCAATCCCGTCGTCCCCGACGAGTACGGCATCGCCACCGTGTCCTCCGGCCGGATCTCGGGACGGTCCAGCTTCGTCTCATCGGATTCCGTCAGTTTCTTGTACCTTACGTAACCCTCGTCCGGACCGTCCTCGTCCGTGATGACGACCAAAACGCCGTCGTTTTGGAGACCGGCGACTTTTCCAGCGAAGCAACGCTGCGTCACGACCATTTTAGCGGCAGAGGCACGGCTTTGTTTCGCGATCTCCGCCGCCGTGAAGAGAGGGTTCGCCGTGGTGGCTATGGCGCCGAGATACGCGGCGGCGAGGAAGGAGACGGCGAACTCCAGAGAGTTGGGGAGGAGGAGCATGATGACGTCACCTTTTCCGACGCCGAGGCTCTGTAGCCCGGCGGCGACGCGGCGGGAGGCGACGTGGACATCGGAGTAGGTGAGTGTACGGCCGGTGGTGCCGTCGATGAGGCAGGTTTGCCCGCCGGAAACGTCGCCGGAGAATTTTTCGAAGACGTAGTCGAAGAGAGGGAGGTGATTGGGGATGTAAATATCTGGAAGCTTCGATCTGAAAATGAAATCTCTAGATGCTTCATCTGTTTTTGCGACAACCGTTTCTTGGAGCACCATTGTCGTGAATGCCCTACTGATTATTTTTTTTTTTTTTTTATATATATTTTTTTTCTTAAAGCTTTTTGTGTCTTCTTATCCATTTAATGTCTCAAATTTATAGGACGAATGGATTTATTTATTTATCTCTCGAGAAATTGAACCAGGAGTCCAATATTCATAATGGACCAATAGTCCGTATTTTTTTTTATTTTTTTTTATTTGTGTGTATATATGTGTGGTTGGTGAGAATATGACATTTATATTTTATATTATCATAATGGGCTTTATATGTTATAAAAAAAAAACTCCTGAAAGGGCAATAATCTTTTTCTATTTATTTCGACTTCTTTGCTTGTAAGGAAATTGTTGTTACATTTTTAGGAGGATTTACATTTAATCTAACCTTTTTTGGTTAAAATCTAAAGTAATATATGTTGTTGTTTATGGAGGATTTGTTATTCATGCCGAATCAAAAAGAGAGAAGTATGGGAAAAAAAAATCATATACTTCCTATAAATTATTTACATGAATAATTTTAGTAGATTATTTTAATTTTGATAGACTTTTTCAGTGAAAATAAACAAGTGTTCTCAATAAGATCCGTTCATAAGAAGAGTGAAATTTATAAGACGAGTGAAATTACAGAATGAATTAAAAAAAAAACAATCCATTTATTCTAAATAAAAAATAAGGATTTAATTATGTTTTATGTGTGAGGGAACTTGAGTCATATTATTATGACTTGTTCATGTGATGTATTTAAATAAATTGGAGCTATATATAGGTTTTTGTTTTTATTATTAATATCGTGGACTGAATAATTTAAATCATACGCGGTTATAGTAGGGGCTTATACTTAGGATCCTAATTGATTTTTTGTGATCACCCACGATTTTTTTAAAGATTAAGTTTTTAGTCTATTTTTTTGGAATGATATTAGGGGTTCTGAATATTTTAAAAACTAAATAAAAAATTAAGATCTAGATCGTTTTTTTAACATTTTTAGAAAATATAAAATAATTAAAAACTGCCCTAACGATGATTATTTTATATTTTGACTATATTTAATTATTTTTTTTCGAATGATATTAGGGGTTCTGAATCTTTTAAAAACTAAATTCAAATTAAGATCCAGATCGTTTTTCAATATTTTTAGAAAATATAAAATAATTAAAAACTGTCCTAACGATGGTTATTTTATATTTTGACTATATTTAATTATTTTTTATTTGAATTCATCGAAATCGGTTCAAAATACTTTTGTTTACATTAAAAATATTTTAAATAATATTCATTTTTGAAATTATTTTTATATTTAGCTCTATTCAAATGAGATTTACATAAAATTACATACTACTTACTAAGATTTGCCTTGTTCAAGATTTTAATAATAAATGTTCATTATTTTGGGATAAGAATTTGTTAACAAAATTATATATTAACGTATGTGTTTATATGTATATATATGCATATGTATGTACATATATATATATATATGAATATGTTTATATACGTATATATTTATAAATATATACATATATATATCAGATATGGATTAGAATTTAATTTTTTGTATTTTATTGACTAGACTCGATATGACGTATTTGCATATGTAATATTAATTCGATGTCGACACGTGTGCAAATATGCCTCAAACTTTTGCCCCGGCTTTGTACCGTACACTTTTATTTTCTCCATGAATAAAAGTTTTAAATTACTCAGAATCACCAGTGCCTTGCGTACCACGCAAACTCGAGACTCTGTTTTTTCCTTCACTGATGGATTCGAAGATTTTGTGAAGAACTTCCCCTGCAAGAGGCCCAGTACTCAGCCACGAGCTTGGAGAAGGAAGAATTACTCTCAATCAGCCTCGACGGCTCGTCATACTCTACCAGATTACCTGCCACAAAAAAAAAAAAAAAAAGAAATCATGAAATCATAGTTCATGGCATTATCATAACATGTCCATGGAATCGAAGATGGTTTCACAGAAGAAAGAACTATCTATATATATATATATATATATTACCAAAGGACAGAACCATGACCATGTCGCTGTCTATGACAGTTGGTACTCTATGGGCAACTGTTATTACAGTACAGTTGGCAAACTCCTCTCTGATAATTCTCTGTAATGTTGCATCAGTAGCGGAATCAATGGAAGCTGTAGCTTCATCCAGTACCAATATTCTGTTTCTCTTCAGCAGTACTCTTCCAAGACAGAAGAGCTGCCTCTGCCCCACGCTCCAGTTTTCGCCCTCGTCGCTCACTTCTCGGCGAATCAAAGTATGTTAGCTTTTGAATCCAAGTAAGTTCCGGGTTTTGAACGGAACACGCAAGTGTTTTTTTTTTTTTTTTTTTTTTTTTTTTTGGGGAAGCACATTATTTTACTCGACGTTTTGTTTAAGAACAATATTATATCACAGTGGAACACAGAGAACATACGGATATAAACCAAGCCCCTGTTGTCCAGACGTGAAACCAAAAAGCCCAAGCCCAGGAAATAAATGCTAACTGTGGCCTTGAGCTGACACTTTTCGAGAGCCTGCAGAGAGGAAATTGTACATCAGACAGGGATTTCTCATTGCAAAAAAGTAAACTGGTCATGTTCCTTCTCTAACATCTGCAGCTCTGTAATGGAGGAAACTCATTGCAACAAAGTAAACTGGTCATGTTCCTTTTCTAACATCTGCAGCTCTGTAATGGAGGAAACCTTGTTTTACCTGCCATATCTCATCGTCGGAGTAAAGACCTAACGGGTCAAGGTTGGTCCTTATGCATCCCCGGAAAAGGGTTGGTTCTTGAGGAATGATGCTGAGTTTCATTCTCAGGTCCTTAAGGCCAATGCTACAGATATCAATTCCATCAATCAGTATATGCCCGCTTGCTGGTTCCACAAGGCGAAACAGAGCACTGATTAAGGTGCTTTTTCCACTTCCTGTTCTTCCTACAATCCCGACCCTTGTCCCTTCCTTAAATGTACAAGAGATTCCTTTGAGAACCAATGGAGCATTGGGGCGATACCTTATCTGAAAACAAAAGGCCCCCGAATCACGATTCATGTCCAAATGGAATAATGATCGGGAGATGACCCTTCCACCACTAATGTTTCAGTGGGTTCGTACCTTAAGCTCCTGCAACTGTATTGTACCATTGGAAGGCCATGAGGAAGGAGGCCTTCTATCCTCCACAATTGCCGGAGGCTCAGCCGGAATGTGCATATACTGTTTTATCCTTTCCACCGAAATGATGGAATTCGACAAGGTGCAATACCATTGAGTCAGGAAAACCTGAGTTTGTGTCAGTGATAAGGCATAGGAGAGTGAAAGCCCGACTAGTCCTGCATCACCATACACGAGTTCAAACTATATTTTCGACAAGAAAACGAAACAGTGATTTCATATCTGAAACAAAGAACAGAAAGAAAACCATATAATGGGTTGATAATGCATGAAATGCACCTGGAGCTACGTAGCCCTTTGGTATAAGGATGAGCAGAAGAGCACAAGTGAATAAAGTCACGTTTTGAAGAGCCTCTATCCTTAGAATCACCCATTCCATGGCGGTATTTGACAGGAAAAAGAGCACAGCATCTGCATCTACGAGCTTTAGGTATATTTTGAAGAACCTTTCTACCGTTCTAAATGCTCGTATTGTCACCACTCCAAGTGAGGTCTCTGAAGCATAATTCATCACTGGAGCTTTTGTTGTTCCATTGATCCTAATTAGCTCCCTAGCGGTGGCTAAGTAGTAATCCTTTTCCAGCAAAAAAACAAGAAACAACTGTTACCAGTGACTTTGGTTTTGCCGGAAACCAGCTATGATGAAAATAAATCAAGATCATGTCTTAAATACCTGAACATATTTTGTTGCAACCATTGCAAGAAGAGCTACAATGATAACTTGCCATGTAACAGATGCCATTATCAGGATAGTTGCTATAAGCTCAATAATTGGTGCCACCACAAAAATAAACGAAAACGGGATGTCGAAATCCACAGCACTCAAATCAGATGAAGCCTGCAATATCGTATCAAATCATTCAAGACGTCCAAATCATACCGTAATTGAGATTTACTGTCTCAGGATGAAGGAAGGGAAAATGATCTTACTCGGGTCAGGATTCGCCCAACTGGAGTAGAATCAAAGAAGAGCATCGGGGCTTTAAAGACTGCACTGGTGAAACCAGAGAAGAAGGCTTTGGATGCTTTTAGCCCGAGGTGAGCCGTGGTGAAAGACCTCAAGTACACAAAAACAGCACTAAGAGTTGAAATGATGCTGTAAATTCCAATAAGCATCGTATTACCGATCTTCGGGATCTCTATGGCAAAGGCCAACCAATATGTTGCTGCAGCCTGTAAGGCAACGAAACCGACCTGACCTAATATGCTTGACCATAGAAGAAACCATCCCCGGGAGACACGGATATAGTCCAAGAAGGGCTTCCATCCAACATGGCCGGTCTCTTTCTCTTCTTCTCGCGTAAGTTGAACTTCCGGAATGTTCTTTGCCACGATCTCTTCTTCACCATTTTCAACAACCTCGATAGTTCCTAACTTTGTGTGTGAATCTTTATCTCCTTTCTTGTTACTCACTTGAGGTAACACAGTTACTGCATCTTTGTGAGCAGACACAAGCTGTTGGAAAGCAGTCCCCACCTTCAAGAGCTCCCCATATGTACCAGACTGAGTGACTCTCCCGTCTTCCATAACCTGATTAACATCAATCAATCAATCAATCAATACTTTTTAAAAGTGTGGCATATATAAAGACGTGTATTTTCATTTATCCATGCTTTGTATATACCAGAATTTGATCGACTTCCGAGAGGAATTCCACTTGGTGAGTGACTAGAATGACTGTTTTCTCTCTCAATGTCTCCACAACACATTCCTGCAGTCATCATTCTTCATGTTAAGTGGCCATGTATATAATTTGATATAAGCATCGGACGAGAGAGCTTTAAATGTGAATTACATGGAAGAGTATTCCAGCTGTTTGTGCATCCACAGCGCTAAAAGGGTCATCGAGGAGATAAACATCGGCATCGTTGTAGACAGCTCGAGCCAGCTGAATCCTTTGCTTCTGTCCTCCGCTCAAGTTAAGCCCTCTTTGTCCGATTTCCGTGAGATCGCCATGCTCGAAATTGCTTATGTCCTTATCTAAAGCACACGCTCCAATAACGGCATTGTATCTTTCACTTTCCATGGGATTTCCAAAGAGAATGTTGTCCCTTATGGTGCCACTCTGGATCCAAGAACTCTGAGAAACATATGCAATGGATCCAGATACTTTTACCTGTTTCAAATAATGCAACAGAAAGAGAAAAGCAAAGAGAAATCAATATTCAGAATTCCAATGAATGTTGGGATAAATCAGGGAAGGTGGCTGCTTACAGTTCCAGATACTTTGGGCATTTCCCCGAGTATTGCGTGCAATAGTGACGATTTTCCCGCTCCGACCGGTCCGCAAACCGCAACCTTTTGCCCATTCTTTACTTCCAAATCTATATTTCGAAGAGTTGGAATATTAATCTCTGGATCCCAACCGAAGTTACCTGCTTGTATGTAAACAGCTTTTCCAGATTTCACCGGCTCATTTCTTTCGATTTCGCCATTCTTCTTTAGCTCATCATCGAGCAGAAAGTTGTTTATCCTATTGAAAGAAACATTGACTTGGATGATAGCAGAAATCGCCTCGGGTATAATTCTGACGGGCAGTGCCATTACTCTCAGCGTAGCTAAAACAGTGAAAATGGTGCTCGCGTTCAATGGGGCGCTCTTCAGCAAAGCACAACCCACAAATACAACCGAAGAAACTACGGTAGGGGACATCCAATACAGAAAAGAACCGAAGGCTTTCGTAAGCTGAGTCTTAGTCAGCCACTTGAATTCATCGGCACGACAAGATTCAATCAGTTTCTTGAACTCCTCTTCCCATGACTGCAACTTAATGATCTTCATACTGTTCAAAATCTCAGAGGTGGCTCTTAGGCGATTATCCTGGGAAACCATGAACTGTTTCTGGCTGTTCTGAAGCATCTTTGCAAATGGTAGATTCAGGAAACCACAGAGAATAAGAAGGAACAAACCCGGGAAAGCTCCCGTTCCAACGACTCCGAAAAGAACAGCTGTTGAAAGCAAAAGCTGCAGCATTAGGCTCCATCCCGAATGGAACCACCATGGAAACTCTCCCATACGATATGCATCCACAGCAATGTAATTCACGATCTCTCCTGTCGAATGCCTTTTCCTCCCCGAGCTCGATAACATTAGTTGCTTTCTATACACGGCGACCATCAGGGCCGATCTTATCCTCATCCCTGACCTCCTGGAGGCAAAATACCAATGCCTCATCGACAATGATTCGGTTAGCTTCAGAATGATTAAGCAAGCCAAGTTCAAGACGCCACTTCTAAGATCTCTCTGGTCACTGTTTGCATACTCCACAAAGGCATAAAGCATGAGAGGAAGAGATACAACGGAGACAGTTCGGAGAAACGCACAAACAGCAATGACTATGTTTTCCTTGAAGTAAACTTTTAAAACTGCTCTAAAAACCAAGTTTCCTCTGTTATTTGAGCTCGGATCCGCAATAAGAGAATCCCATGCTTGAGAAAATTGTTCATAAGCTAATTCAGCCTCATCCTCAGGAACCAGAGTTGGGATATCTTCGGGGGCTAATGGTTTTCTGTAGCCCAAAGAAAGCAAGGGGTTGATCCAAGAAAACGTTAACCTGCTGAAGAACCCGGCAGTGGATAGATTCAGCGAGTTATGTCGAGGCTTTCCGGGTAATAGAGGGTCGGAAAGATCTGTTTCACTTTTATTTTGAGAAGCCGACCCTGTAAAACTTTTGTAGCTGCAAAAGAGAAGCAGAAGGCTCATCGGCCAGGCTACCATGTCGAAAATCCAGATACCTTCTCTTCTCACTAAAACCTCGATCTTCACGGCTGAATCCAACAAAGCAAACGATACCCACCAAACAGATATCAGAATCTTGAACCACTTCGGGCCATTAGCGAAGAACGAAACAGCCAATGAGACCCAAATGGCTCCTCTGACAAAGCAAAAAGCCCAAGACAAGTCACTTATGTCTCTGGTGTCTGCAATCAGCTTGGTTACTCCAGCAACTAAATACCCGAAACTTGTAACCACACAACACATAGCAGTGACCACAAAGATCCAGTTCTTCTTGTTGTTTACGGGAATAGAATGTTTTAGAACAGAATAAACTATCAAGAGGAAGTAGAAGAAGCAGATGAATAACAGGTTTATGATGTCTATGGCGGTTCTTTGGAAGCAATAAGAAGCCAAATCCAGTTCATTGCCACACCAAGGAACGCTCCCTGCATAAAACCGTCAAATGATACCTTAGCACCGGAATCAGGAAACTGAAAAGTAAGACAGAACATGAGTTGTGATAAAATATGTGGTGACCACAAGAACATGAATCAAAAGCGTCGACTCTTGATCATATAAGGACTTCTATTGAAGCAACAAGCTCAGCTTGGCATTTCATCGAGCACTAATCACGTAGAAGACAACAAAACCAGAACTGTAAAAACATAAGCTAACAATTAACTTGGTAATCAGAAAAACAAACAATGAACTGAACATGACAACGACAAACAAGAAGGAGAAGAAACGAATCAAAAACTCGAAAATATGGGGAAAACCAGCGAATGGTTCATCAAAGTACCAAGCGAAAACGCCATTGGAGAAGAAAACGGAGCCCAATCGGATCACCACCTTCACGCAAGCTGGGGAAAAAACGTCGTCAGGTGTTCATCGCTCACAGATTGGTTGGACAAACACGACACTCATGCCGATAACTAGTGGGTGTCGATATAAAGATGTATTACATCGACAACTCTATGAATCCTTTGTCTTCATTCCTTTGGATTTGCGTAATCTTTTTCGGGTTCCATTTCTTTTTTCGTCGTGTTTTGTGGAGAAGGAAAAAGAGGACATTCCACATCGATGGCGGCTCTCTGTCTTAATCTGCCTCGCCATCTTCAGAATGTGTAAGGAATTACGTATGCCTACCTACCTGTCAGCCACTGTGTTATATACGCACACATGAACATATATACACATGTGTATGTATATGTATACATATGTATGTATCGACGTTTGTATGGAAGGAGGATTCGGTTCGGACAGTGCCACTTGGCACGTGCGGCGCATTGTGAGGATTACTATAATAATGAAAAATAATTTTTATTTTTGGATTTTGATATAATATTACATGTCTCATCTTGTTTTTTTTTTTCCCTTTTGAAAAGATTTCTTATTTGTGAAATCTCACCTCTTCGAAGCGAAATCTTCTTTTGAAAAGTATTAAAGCAAAATTTGATCTTACCTCTTTGTTTTTTTCTTCTTCCATTTATTCTTCTAATTAATTTATAGATTGATATTTTGGGTACCCACTTAAATTCAGTTTGGTTATTTTTTAGTTTTGAATTATCCTGTTTCAAAAAAAAAAAATATTATACCAATTAACTTCTGTAAATCAAATTCTTAACAAAAAAAATAACCAATAATCCATACCAATATTCAAATCGAATTCGATATAGTAATTTACTCAATTTATATTAGAAATTATATAAATTCGATTTTTATATCAGATTATGTTTATTTCCATTTTGTTGATATTCAATTTTTATGGATAAAATGATATATTTCTAAACTTTTTATTTTTATATTTTTGATTTTAATTATATATCAAATCAGATATTTTTTGGTTTTAAATCTTTTCCTCGACCGTAATAGAAAATCCGGATATATATATAAAAAAAAAGTGTTACGCCCACACACATATTTATGAAATTCCATTTTTGCCCTATCAGAAAGTGGAAGTCAGATAGTTGGTCCTTTTTTTTTTTTTTTTTAAAATGTTGGAGTGTGGTGTGTGTGTGTGTAGATTTTTGTTCGTCGAAATCTGGGAATCTTCTCAACACTGATTGATCGAACGCTTCAAATTGGGAGAAACCAATCTGCGAGCTCGAATGGACAACTCGAGATCGGAAGCTATGGCTTTGCGTGATTCCTGACCTGATCCGTTGTGTTTCCTGATTCGAGAGGTAATCATAGGCTGTTGATTCCTTTAACCATTAGATTATCGGGGAGAGAGAGAGCGAGAGAGAGGGGCAATGAACGGTGGTGATGAGGTCGTCGCAGCTACGACAGACGTGCCTCCGCCGCTGGAATGGAGATTCTCTCAGGTATTCGGCGAACGCAGCGCCGGAGAAGAAGTTCAAGAAGGTCTGTATCGATCCACCTGTGTGCATGTATAAATGTGTATAGATGCATCTGTGCTTGAGTAGCATCTGTGCTTGAGTAGCATCTGTTTTGTAGTCTTGCCATTGGATCTAATCTGTACAATTTGAGATTAGGGTTTGGTTTTGATGTTTAGATCTATTGCGCTCCTCGGATTGTCGAGAAATTACGTTTTTCATTTGTGGGTTATTGAAAAGTTTTGGTTTTTGGTTGAGCTTTCTGTATGCTAACTTATTGGAAGACTCTGAATGTCAGCTCGATTGCATCTGCAAGTTTCGTTGGCTAAATTGGTGACTTTTAACTCTACTGTCTGCACGTGGTAGCTCTGAGATATAGTTAGGTTTGGTTCTTGTCAGGAAAAAACAGGAAGGTGGAAATTGGTCTCATTGATGAAGGGGACGCTTGATTATCGGGTTTTGGAATTTGATGACCATGCATTTTTTTTTTGGTTTGAAGGTTTTAATCTTTAGTAGAATTTTCTATTTAGGCTTCAAATTGTTTTCTTTCTTCCTGAGCTTGAATTGAGCTTTGTTTTTCTGTCCTTCCAGAAAGAATTCATGGTTACTTTTTTGTTAGCTGTTTGATCCCGCTCAAATATCCATATTGCAATATGCTGGTGAAATTGAATGTGCGATGCATAATGGTTTGGTGGATTCAGGTTACATACCATTTCCGTTTAAAATCTTAAACTGTTTGGTCGGTGGCTCTCTGCAGTTGATATAATTTCTGCAATTGAATTTGATAAACGTGGTGACCATCTTGCTACTGGGGACCGTGGGGGGCGGGTTGTTATCTTCGAGAGAGCAGATGCAAAGAGTGTATGCCCTCTTTGCCTTTGCAAGCTTTGCCTAAACATAATTTGACATTTAGTTTTCTGTTATGAGTTTGTTACACGCTATGGTTTATAGGTCGGTGGATCAAGAAGAGATCTTGAGAGAACAGACATTCCACCTCGGCACCCAGAGTTTCGATATAAAACAGAATTCCAAAGCCATGAACCTGAGGTATTTGTTTGACTTTTCGACTACAATTTTGTGTTGTACCTTGTTTTGGCTTCATATGTTCTGTCCTTCTCTTCCAGTTTGATTACCTGAAGAGTTTGGAGATAGAGGAGAAAATTAACAAAATCAGATGGTGTCAAACAGCCAATGGTGCTGTTTTTCTCCTTTCAACAAACGACAAAACCATCAAGTTTTGGAAGGTGAGGAAGTTCCTACACATGATCTGTTGGCCTCTGGATCACTTAATGTCTTGATAGGAGCTGAGGTCCATACCATCATGTTTGTTTGTGTGCAATTATGGTGTATAATTAGAAATCTGTGGTACTTCGACAAAAAATATTTGTTATGTTGAAGTTGGATGACAGGTCCTGGATGATGGAAAACGTTTTTTTGGACTGATTCTTAGGGAAGATCTGCATCTGGTCCGGTATTCAGCAGTCTGATGGTCATATATTCCATACATCTTATAGTTCGATTTCTCTAGGTCCTTTTTTGGCTGTGAATGTCCTACTTCTTCATTTTCACACAGGGCTATAAAAGTTTTGTAACATTTTCCACCTTACGGTTTATCTTTCGTTCTTGTTCATGGATTTTTGACCAAACACAAGTTAAGATGAATATTTAAAGGTGTTTCTTTTCCCTTTTTTCATGTGAGAGTTTAAACAGGTTCAAGAGAAAAAGGTCAAGAAAATTTGTGATATGAATACAGATGCTTCCAGAGCAGTAGGAAATGGAAAGGTTGCTAGTTCAAGCAGCCTGAACCCATGCCCCATGAATGGGGGATTGCCGGACAAAGCACACAATTGTTTAAGTAATGACTTCTCATTCCCGGCAGGGGGCATCCCATCGCTGCGGTTACCAGTGGTAGTTGTACTCTTTGCGATTTTGTTTTCAGTTTATCGTTTGTGGTGTGGCTAGATATTTTAGTCGTGCTTATTGCAGTATGAACTTGAATAACAATGTAAATAATCAAGCTTGACCCACAGCAAAGAACCAAGCAACTTGTTTAAGCTTCTGCTGGGTGCTATTCTCTAGCTCGTTTGCAGGGTCGATTTTTTGTGAAAATTTAGCAAAATTAGTTGGCGATTTGCCCTCATGCTTAGACTAATCGTTTTTTTCCCTGCAACCTACAGGTAACTAGTCACGAAACTAGTCTTTTAGCCAGATGTCGAAGAGTGTATGCTCATGCTCATGATTATCATATCAATTCAATTTCTAACAACAGGTAGGTTCTCTGTCCATATGGTACTTGACTTCTTTTGACTCTATTTATCTCGGAGTTTTTATTGCTCATCCTGTTAACTTCTGATAGAAACTTGCATCTTCATGCGGTGGGACCCATGATCCCATTGCTGAAAGATTTTCTAGAGATCTTTATTTGCTTGGGTCATGTTCTTCTAAAGATATTTCCTCTTAAATTTGAAGTGATGGTGAGACGTTTATCTCTGCTGATGATCTGCGAATAAATCTTTGGAACCTGGAGATAAGCAATCAAAGTTTCAACATTGTTGATGTCAAGCCTACAAATATGGAAGACCTAACTGGTAAGCCGTGGAGGCTTGTCACATTGTTTTTGTTTTGAAGTATGCTTGAAAATATTATTCAAGCTATTAACTAAACAATTTTTGTGACCATTATACCCTGAGTTCGACATCTTCCTTACATGATATGGTGAACCCTCTTTAATTTTCTTTTATTTTTTAAAGGACACAGCTCAAAAATAATCAACTACTGGATACTGTACAGTATATATCCTGGTTGATAAGTTGGGTTTCAGTAGATATATCTAGTTCGATTATATGTTACCTTACAGATTGAGTTGACTGCATTTTACTCTTTTGCTCGATTCCTACAAGTTTGGTTTTCTTTAAAGTGGGAACGTTTCACACAAGAGGAAGTTAGTCTGAGCCTCGATATGCATCATGTTTGTGCTTGCAGAGGTTATCACATCAGCGGAATTTCATCCTACACATTGTAATACATTAGCATATAGCAGTTCGAAAGGCTCAGTTCGCCTGATTGATCTGCGGCAGTCTGCTTTATGTGACTCGCATTCGAAATTGTAAGTCTTTTGGACTGGTAGTTCTTTTAGGTTTCTTGTGAATGCGGCATTCCTTTCTGAAAATTTTATTTCTTTAGTCAATATGATTGTTAACAGCTTTCACACCGTCACAAAAAAGAAAACTTTCCTTTATTTCAACTAAAGTAGTTTTTTTTAGAATTGAGTGTATACTTTCTAATATAACAACTAGAATTCCAAGATCGAGAGGGTATGCATGCTATGGTACTGATGTTATGATGTACCAGTACCACTACCTAGTAGGCTAAATTTGCAAAGAAGCAAATGAAGTAATAAAATCTTTTGTTCTGTTACTGCAGGTTTGATGAACCAGAGACGGCGGGTTCAAGATCGTTTTTCACGGAGATCATTGCTTCAATTTCAGACATCAAATTTGCAAAAGGAGGAAGATACATACTTAGCCGTGACTACATGACACTTAAGGTTCACACTTCTGAAATCATTCATGCTCTCTGTCTCGTAAAAATCTCTGTTTTTTATATGGCCTGCCCTTGAAGTAGCCAATGGCTGGTGTGAAAGTGCCTTACAATGAAAACTTGACTAACAAGTCATATTTTACTGTCAGTTATGGGACATAAACATGGATTCAGGTCCAGTAAGAACGTTCCAGGTTCATGAGCATTTGAGGCCAAAGGTCAGTTTTTTCTGTACTTCGTGTTGCATTTGATGATTTCAGGCATTGCTGATGGTACCTAGTTTTTAAATGTTCACAGCTCTGTGATTTATATGAAAATGACTTCATCTTCGATAAGTTCGAGTGTTGCCTAAGCAGTGATGGATTACGGGTAGCTACAGGTTCTTACAGGTATATCTTCAATGTGAACCGTTCCTTCTGTTCTTTGTTTTTTTCAATGTAATATGATTCCTCGAATTGCTGTGATAATGTTTTCCTGTTTTTGATCCGAATCCAGTAATTTATTCCGGGTATTTGGCATTTCCCCCGGGAGTACCGAGGCTACAACCTTGGAGGCCAGCAAAAACCCTATGAGGTTGCCATTAAAAGCATCTCCTTTTCCTTGTCCTTGGTGTTTTCGTAAACATTTGATACCATATAAATTCATGCCGTAATTGTAGGAAACAAGTTCCGACTCCATCGAGGCCTTCAAGATCATTGAGCAGTATAACACGAGTCGTTAGGAGAGGTTGGGCGTCTCTCTTTCTTCCATGCCCTATTTCCGCCACGAGATTATGAGTGAATATATCATAGATTCATAACATGAATATACCATATCGCGTATGGAAACAGGATCAGAGAGTCCAGGAGCTGATGCCAACGGGAATTCTTCTCTCGACTTCACGACGAAGTTGCTTCATCTCGCTTGGCACCCGACAGAGAACTCGATCGCATGTGCCGCCGCCAACAGTTTGTACATGTACTGTGCTTAAAGATATAAGAAAGAAGAAAGCAGACGTTTCTTTTTTCCGGGTTCTTGGAAGCTTTTTCCGGGTTCTTGGAAGCTTTTTCCAGGTTCCCGAACGGTGAAAGCATGGAAAACCGGCTCAGACTTGGGACCGGGTTTTCATTTCTTCCAAGGAGGGGTATGTCCGATCCGATTTCGATTTTGATTTTCTCGGCTCAAGTGATTCAGACCTGATGAAGCATTATTCCATCATATCACATCCATATCTCTCAGTGTAGAAGATTGCGCTCTTGTGCTCTGAAGGTAGTAGTGAGTATGAACGATGTCATAGGAATCCGATGAGGAGGCGAAGTGATTTGGTAGCTCTCAAGTTTCAGTCTTTGTCGGCCTTTTTTATGCTCTTTGGGTTTCTTTTGAAAATTACATGCCGGAAAGATTTGGTGTATTTTGCAAATGATCATTGTTTTATTGATTCTTTGTTGTTTTAGTAGTTGCTTTAAAATAAATGCCACTTTGATTCACAATGGCTCTTGTTTTTTTTTTTATAAAAAAAAATTAAATTTTGATTTACGCTCCATAATTTTATAAGAAAGCTTTTATATTTTGAAACTGTTTACTTTAAATGCATTTATATATGTAAAAAAGTTAATCTTTTTTTATATAGATTCAAGTCATAGATCTGAAAAACGGACAAATGATTCTAATATTATGTTTGAAAATTTTGGAAATGTAAATCTGTCCCTTCATATATCTACTAGTTCCATCCCCATGCAATCTCAACCGTCCATCCATCTGTCTTCACTCTGACACAACAGTCATAGCCGTAGGATTCACGACAAGAGCTCAGACGTGTTGACGACAAAATCACAAACACGGAACAAATGGTCAGCCATTGCGGCAGCTTAACGCGTGAGACAAATATACGGTTCTGATGCGATCACACTATGACTGAAAATCAATAGACGGTCCAGATTCGATCTTTGAGGTCCCTCAACGATATCCCCTTTACATTGCTTCACACGCACGAGTGATCATGAGAGTCCATCATCCAATTCGAAGCTTTTATTAATCTCTGTTTAATTATGCTTTTACATTTTTAACCCTGATTAATAAACATTTTTGTTATGGTTATTACTTATTACGTGTACAATTTCTGCATGGCTAGTTTGACTTGTGTGGCGGTTGAAATAATTTTTGGCTTTTTCATTCACTTGTATATGTGTGTGTATATATATATATATATATTTTGGTAAAGTGTGTATATATATTTTCGATCATTTGGAAAATATAATTAAACTAGAATCACCATAAATTTTTAGATTATAAAAAAAATATGTCAAAAACAAAAAGTGCAGTATAAAGGCTGGTATCACTTGTCCCGTCGTTTAAAACAACACTCTCCTCAATCCTAATTCTAGAGAGAGAAAGGGTTCGACTTGTCATTTACAGGATAAGAATCTAGAGAGAGAAAATATCTTCGTTTCATTCTCTTTATACTTTTTTTTTCTGAGAAAAAAAAATTCGAAAACCCAATGGGAAGTTGCAATCTGTTGCCACCGCCGCCTGAAGATTCGATCTTTTCTTTATCGTACGGACAAAAGGGCATTTTATTTTCTGCATAAATCCTTCCAAAATCTTCAGAAAATATTCCTTTGGGGGAAAAAAGTTTCTGCCTTTATTTCCAGTTTATTAAATTATCAAAGAACACAAACTGTGTTTTGAGAAAGAAAAACCTGATATTGTTGTCTGTTCTTCAGAAAGTATTTCTATTTTAGGAAAGAAGTTATCTTTTTTCTTTATCTCCAGTTTCCTGAATCACCGAAGAAAAACGCAGACCGTTCAAATTCTCGCCGTTCTTCAGTTTTCTGAATCATCAGAGACTAAAAATCCTCAGACTTTTTGCTTGATCCAGATTTTTCCGGGAAAACCCAACGAGAAAAAAAAAACCCAAATTTTTTCCGGGAAAATGCAGGATCAGACATCAGCATCGTATTACCAAGCGATGATGGTGGGACAGCCACAGTTCCCAGAGCAAGAACAACTAAAGTGCCCGCGATGCGACTCAACGAACACAAAATTCTGCTACTACAACAACTACAATCTCTCGCAACCTCGTCACTTCTGCAAGAGCTGTCGAAGATACTGGACCAAAGGAGGAGCCCTTCGCAACATCCCCGTCGGTGGCGGCTCTCGCAAGAACACCAAACGGTCCAAGAAGAATCAAGTTGTCAGAGACCCGGATCGGAATTCCGGGTCTGGGTCATCTAGGGTTTTGTGTCAGGATCAAGATCCGACCCGGGTGATATTCGGGTCGCCGGCTGGAAATCATCAGGGCGTGAAGGGTGTGGATTTGGGCGGGAGTTTCAGTTCTGTACTGTCGTCGAATCTGCAGCTCGGAGGGATAGTTCTTGACGGGTTTGGGGAAAACGGGTCGGGTTGGGATCCGGATTTGGGTTCGCGGCGGAGCGACTCGGCCACCTCCGGAGGCGCTTGGACTGATTTAGCGAGGAATAGTGGAGACGAGCTGAAAGGGTAGTTTTGTAATTTTATGTCCGAGATTTTGTGCGAGGAGATTGTCGGTCACTTTGGTAATACTCGAATTATAATTTATCGGGTAAAACTTGTAAAAATTTCTAACAAATTTCTAAACTATTTTCTAAATAAGTTTATTTTAAAATTTATAAAATATATTATTATAATTTTTAAATTTGTTATTTAGTGATAGAAAATTTGTTGACGATGTTGATTAATACATAAATTTGGAAAATATAATAATATATTTTATAAGTTTTTGAGAATTATAATAATATATTTTGTAAGGTTGACAATAAATTTGTTAGACGAAAAATTTAAGAATTTATTTTGTACCATTTTATAAATTCAAAAATTTTACGAGTTTTTCTCTAATTTATTTTGTTTGCAATTAGCTTTATTTATTTTTAATAAACTTGTAATAGTAATGGCTCCATGATATATGATTGAAATGCTTACAACGGTAGTGGTCCATGTGGTTATATAAATAAATGAAATGGACCTCTTTTGGAATGACGAAGATGAGTTGCATGTAATCAATGTTTAACTAAATTTGGTTAAAACCTTACCATATCATTGGTGACGATGGGCCATCCATGCATGCGTTAATCACCCTATTAATTTGATGATTTTTTGGACCGCCCTTCAATTGTTTAAATTGCAACTTTAGAGATTTGGAGTTTTGTAAATTAGTAACGGTACGTTACGTATGACCCCATTCACGTCAGCACATATGTTTCTCCTTTCTTGAACATGATTTCTTGATGTTAAAATCAATGTGATAAAATAGTTCTATTCACTGTGATATATATATATATATATATGTATATTTATCATTATTCTTATGATTAACATTTTGATGGCTAATATGATATCTGGAAAGTTCGAATCCTAGATTTCACAGTTTAAAAATTCAACATCTAGATCAAAAGATCGTTACAAAATAACACACTCAACATATGATACATTTATATTTCTGGAGCTCAAAGTTCACACACAAATATATTATAATTTTTCAAATCAAATAATCCAAATCCAACAAATCGAAAATTTTTAAACAAATATTTTTCTTATTCAAAATCGAACCGGGACCAAATTGAAATCCAATATAAAAACAGAATAACTATAATTATTTCAAAAACGAAAATATAAAAAAAAAATCATAACTTGGAAAAAGTAGCAGCCCCTCAATCAACTAAAGTTCCAAGGTAAAAAAGCCACATAAGATAACGAGCACAATTGTAAAAAAAAGATATTGGGACCTCCAAAAGTCTTAATAACATAATATTTTATAGTCTTATAAAATAGTAATGGTTCAGAAAAAAGAATGAAATTTCGGAGAAATGGAAAACAAAATTCCAGACTTGAGAGAGAAAAAGAAGAAAGTCTATAAAAGTTCTATCAAACCTCACTGGTCCGAAAGAACTAATCAACAAAGAAAACCGAGAGAGGGTTACATGGAGACAGTGCGAGCCTTGTACATTATGATGTATGCCATATGCCAATCACCTGAAATCCGACCCCCCCAAAAAAACCGAAAGACAAATATAGATCAACGAGAGAGAGAGAGAGAGAGAGAGAGAGAGAGAGAGAGAGAGAGAGAGAGAGAGAGGACAAAGCTAACCTCCTCCCGAGAGCTTAGTGATGTCCTCCTCGCGTTGAGGGCTGGGGCTATCATCATCGTATTGGATCCACTTGCCTGTTTTGTGAAAGTTTCCGAGTTTAGATTGGCAGAAGAAATATGAGGTGAGAGTTTATAAAAAACACAGAGACAACAATTGAAGTGAAGTGAAGTGGGGAGATCTTGAATGGTAACTGACCACTCTCTTGCTTGACCCATGCAACATAATGGCCAGAATCTGCACTCCTGCCTTTGTGGGTCAATACCGCGACCAGATCATAAATTCCCGTCATATGAGCTTCTCTCTCTGAAGGAGCACCTGTTGAAAATGTCGAAACGTTTTTCAAGCCAGGAACAGAACTCGATCCTCGTTGTCATGCTCTGACAACATAAATTATTGCTCGAAAAACGATAACATTGACAAAATCATCTAAGCGTTTCATGATAGGCGTGTTGTGACATGCTGAGTGAGAAAGAGAGGGATAGAGGAAGACAAATCTAATGCTAGATCCCTCGAGCACTAAAAATCCACGTAGACCCATCTCTTTTTAATTCACCAGACCCGGTTACTGATCTATTTCTGTAATAACTAACGTAGAAAAATCTCTATTCCCTAACATTATTCATTTGTTTCAAACGGATCATCATGAACTATGCTAAATCCAAATTGAAGCAAAGTTACGACAGCAACCAATCCAGACAAGAGAAGGTGAAAAACAAAATTGGAGGGAGTATTAGAGACTAGAGAGCCCCACCTTCCTGTTGATTATCTGTGGATGATTCTCTACTTCCATTTGATGATCCCTGCATAAGAACATAAAGCAGATATCTATAACATCTTTCTTAACGCCGATTTTAGGGGACCCTAAGAGAATTCTTTTTTTCTCTTTACCTCTGCATCTGCCATTTTCACATCATTATCTTTTGAGCTGTTCTTTGCACTGGTCTGCAGACCAAGCTTTTTACCTTCCTCGTCTCTAAGTTTCTGAAAGCTATATGCCCGTTAGTTTGGCCAACCATCTCAAGATAATCCAGAAACACAAAGACGGTCAGTACCTGGCGAGGAGCTTCCAGTTTCTTCCGGAGATCATCAGAGCAAAGATCATAAACATCCAACTCCAATGGATAATCCACTTTCTTCACAGAAAATAGGTCAAAATCACTACACATCTCAGACCTTTGATCTTTGTTAACAAATGATAATGATGAACATGCATACCCGCAAAATCTTTGCTTTCTGATTGGTCTCCCTTTTCCAGAAGAAACGCACAAACTGAACAGTCAAGTACCTTCATCAACAGCAAAAAGAATTTCAGAAACTTAAGGTCAGAGGGGAAAAAAGAATCCAAAGCGGAATTCCGATAGTAAGTTTGATAGAGTTAGTCCTCAAAAACAAGCTGGTCATGTTGCAAGAAGATTGTAAAACTCTGAGATGTCCTACGAAAGACGAAATTTAAAACAGAGATCAATTACCTTGGCAGTGAATCTATACAAGATTCCTTAATGAAAAGTGCAGTACGACCCAGAGAAGAGGATGTTTTCTCAAGTTCTCCTCTCAGTCCCTACAGCAGCCAAAACAAAAGGGTTGTCTGTCACAATGCATAATGGAAAAGGGAATTTCTAACCAAAGTTGTACTTAAATTTGTCAAGCACACGCTACATAAGCACACACATACAAAGCTTCAAATTCATCGCAACATAAAATGTTGAATCAAATCAACAATCTGACAACAAGCTACTGCACAAATTTAAATGTTAAAGCTCACATACGTTACTACAGAAGGCCAAATCACAAGTACATTTCTGAGATAGGAGAACCTTCCCTAGAACCTAGCATTGAGTCATTGACTAACCAAAACATAAACAAATTTTTCGATTGATCGATTGCAGAACTTACGCGTTTTAGTCCTTCATGCAAATGATTAACCTCTTGCGAAATATGGCATTTAAGAGAATAGACAGATTCTGACTCTGAGCTTTCTTCGCCACTTTCTTGACAATGCAACCTGCATCACCATTTATGAAATGGTCGTCAGTTCCACCCCCTTTTCTTTTTGTACAGCAAATAGGGGAAGCAGACTGGCAAGTAGGCCAGATCTACCTCAAACAGCCTCATATGTTTGGCAAGCAAATCCTGCCATGATACACATCAACACTATTCTACATGAAACATTTGTGTTCAGTCATGTATTCAATTTCTTTGAAACATATAAAAGTTGGAAATCTAAGACAATGGTTTGTTCAGCAGCCCCAACCAAATAGGTTTATATGCTCTGCCAATATTTTGACATCATCCACAGGGTTTTACCCATTCGACCCTAACAACTATAAAACGATGGACTAAAATGCCGCAAATAAATGGTTTTCAGAATTGCCTTCCATTGTGTTCATAAACCAGCTTTGATAAGACTGATATAAGAACAGTGGAATGGGAAATTTGTATTATGACCTGCTCAGAAGATTGACACCAAAAAGAGCCTTCACAGTGTCAGGATCTTCATTAGAACTTGGTGCTTTAAGTGACTGAGAAAGTGTGTACAGCAGCTGTGTCCAACATTCTTCAGCATCCTATTATGCATTCAGAGGAGCATGGATTGGCAGATTGGAAGGCTAACATAGAAACACCACAAAAGAATTGTCATTGATATATAAAAAGCAACAAACCTGCTGCATGTGGATTCCATTATGCAATTGACCAAACTGAGGATATTTTTTACGTAATACCTGCATCAACACAAAATAGGTGTGAGACAAAACTAGAAACTACATCACGTTGACACTAAAAAAAACCATAAATGCGGAGAGTGACAAAGACAAAACATGGAAAGTGATAACGAGAACAATCAAATGATGTCCAATAATAGAATATTCGAATTTCATGCTGTGTAGCACATGACGCTTGAAGAGATTGCGAACATGTGTTATTGTATTCCAAGAAATTCCATTTTTTTATGTTAAACCCACATGATTGACTTCTAAGACAGCAGCCAAAGATGTAAAAATAAATTTGAGATTTTTTGGTAATCTATTATTTAGTCCTAGAGATTTAACAAGAATAGGTAAACGAATCATCAACATCACATCGCCTTAATCCCAAGTTTAAGAATAGGTAAACGAATAAACCAGAAAAAAAACTGACCGTCCAGAATTGCATAGGTGCGACGGCCTTGACACTTTTATCAAGCTCACCGAATAAATCACGGGTAGCAACTGTGAGCATGTGAGAAGTCTGATCCAGATCATTGCTTCGTCCGGCAAGTGAGTATCTAACCAGAATAGACATCAAGAATCAGGTTCTGCTAATATGAGATTCTCGCAACGCAGGTTAGCAGAAAATTTTAGTAAGAAAAAAGAAGTGATAAGCTGACTTGGATAAAGCAGATTTCAGTTCAGGGACAGATTTCAAGCACTGTATAGTGGAGTTCATGTAACAGGTGTTGCCAAGATTGAATAGGCCAGCACTATAACCCTGAAACCACTTATAACATTTGTTAGATGTAGGAAAGAATCCAAATCTTCCAAAAGATGAAATAAAAGAAGATTTTAGATTACAAGCTATCTAGAGAAAAGACGGAAAATCCTATTTCCAGAAATAAAATTATAAAAGTATTACCAGATTAGTGACTTGCTCTTCCTCAGGAAGATCTTCCGCAAAAACAGGGCCCTTCTCTGGAGCCTTCACTATTTCATCCGCAGTTCCCATCATCATCAGTTTTTGGCCCTAGGATGATGGAAATACAAGAAAAACTTAGCCAACGAGTACCTCAATGAAAGTTAAAGTGAAAAAACTCACAACACCAACAAATGACAGTTGAGCGTACATTTTTCACTCCTATAGTTGACCAATCTGCGTCATCCTGCATCATATATAGGAAATACCTTGTTACTTGCCACAAATAATGCAGTTTAAGAAACTCATATTACTAAAAAAGCAGGAACAGGAACGCATAAATCTAATTACCTTTAGCAGTCCACCTTTGACCATGATCTTTTGTCGTTCAGGAGGGACTCCGGTCAAATCATACAATTGAGCCTTGAAAACATAAGGAGGCTGACTAGTGTCGATCTCGATACCTTCAAGTACCTTCTTCTGCCATTTCACGCTCACTGCAAATGAACGACAAAACAATCCAATTAAGACTTAATGGTTAACTCTGAACTTAAAAGTAACATTGACATTCCAGATGATGTCTCACCATAGTACTAAAACCTGTGTATTCTAAAATACCAAAAAGGTCTCACAACTAGAAACTACAATCATCACTCAGCACTAACAGTTGCTCTTAGAAATCATGCCAATCGTAGAATCTCCAGCAGAAGGCGAAAAGTATCCCTAATTGTTTACACTCTGACTCTCCCAATCTCTTGGTAATGGAAAGACAATCCCGCCACTTGAATCTTTGAATTCATCATAGTTTCATAATCAAACATCAAAACATATCACAGAAAATCGCACTGGGCAAATCTCATGTTTTTGCACAACTAACAAACTGTTCTAAAGGTCGAATCAATCATTTCGTGACATACTCAATATTCTATGGACATGTAAAAACACGGTATTAATCGGTCATGCTTACAGAAAAACCAAGCAACTCACACAGACTTAGCCATCAAAGGTCACTGTGTCAACAATGCATCAACCTCTTTAACGAGGAAAGAACGTTACTTGTAATTCACATAAAGGCTACTTCGTTTGCACCATCATATTTCAGTTAATCAAAGGGAACGACCCAAAAAATCTAAAACCGGTGAAAATAATTAATCATCCCTACAACAATGCATTATATGAACCTTACTGTTACTCTACAAGAACATATGAACAACTCATTCTCTAATAGCGAACAACAAAGATCGTGCACCCATGGAAAATCCCAGAAAATCTCGATTATCAAATGCAAAATCAGAATCCAGAGATTCACAATGGAGTCCGATCAACAAAAACAGACTCAGCAAGAAACAAAACCACAAATATAAACCGATTTAGCAGGAATTAACGAAGAAATCCAGAGAAAATGAACCTTTTAACATGTTCGAAGGCCCGGAGAGAGAGAGCGAGAGAGAGAAGATGTCTTGCTTGAAGAGAGGGTTAAGAGATATTTTCCTTCTCTCTCGAAAACGTTGCTTCTACTTCTACGAAGTTCGACGGGTAGCCGGGTAGGTGCCTTTGTTCGCGGTTCGGGTCGGGTCGGGTCGGGTAAAACCTGAAACGACATCAGACCTAAAACATTAAACGACATCGTTTTCCACTGGAGAAAAAAAAAGGGACGAACCCCTTGGCTCCCTCTCTCTGTCTCTCTCTCTCTCTCTGCATCTCCATCATCACCGTCTCTCTATATGTGCCTGTGCATCATAATCTACACTTACAAGTTACAAACACACACATATATATACGGGCCTACATATATATGAGGATATCACAGTGACGGAGAAATTGACCGGAGGACGATGTACGGAGGCTCGTCGAAACTTGGACGCGGAGGCGGTAGGGGCAGCGGCGGCACCGGAGGACCGCCGCGTGGCCGGAGCTCCTACCCTCCTCTATCGCATCGGAATCCCTCCTCTGTCAGTAGGATTTCGTCGGGAGGCGGCGGCGGCGGCTCCTTCTCTGCCCCGCGCCAACGCAGCACTGCCGGCGGAAAGGCCGCGACGGCAGCGGTTGAGGAAACCTTCAGCCTTGTGCCGAGTAAGAACCCTCCGGCTTTCGCCATGATCATACGGCTCGTGCCTGATTTCGTGGAGGAGATCAGGAAGGTTGAAGCGCAGGGTGGGGCCACGAAGATCAAGTTCGATGCATTTTCTAACAATACAAGTGGGAATGTGAGTTTCATTCGTCTGCGGTGGTACATAAAAGATGATTTCTTTCGTGTTGAATTCGATTGTTTCAGCTAATTGCCATTTTTTCTTTTGCTAATTTTGAATTTGCTCGATAGGCTAGTTAAACATTGTGTGCTTCAACTGAGATATTGGCAATTCACTTCGATTAAGGTGTCCTAGATGGTGGATGTGAGGGAAAAATCAGTTCTTCTGCCTGATTGATTGTTGTATCTCGAAACTAGAGCTCAATTGGAGTTGGGCAAAAGGTAACTAAGATCTACAAATGCTAAAAGTGATTAGGATCTATTAAGCTGTTATCAACTGGTATAAATCCTTTCTTTTGTTGGATTTGGGGATGAATTGACTTGGCTTTTGGTTGAACATGATGTATTTGAACTTGCTTTCTTTGTTTTTCCCGTCATAGTTTATTTATGGGGCGCAGTTGTTGACCGGATATTCTCTGTCATACCCTTTTATATCAGTGATTCCTCTCTGCATTTTCTGTTTTGTTGATTTCTGATACTACTTGTTGCATATGCCCACCTCCACCTTTCGTGTATCAGATTTGGTTTGTAGTTTATCCTTGTTGTTATCCAGTGGTGTTTGATATCATCAAGCTTCTTGTGTTCTTATGATTTCTTGCTTGAAACAGATTATTAATGTAGGTGGAAAGGAGTTCAAGTTTACTTGGTCACGGGAGCTTGGTGATTTATGTGATATATATGAAGAACACCAGAGTGGTGAAGATGGAGACGGTGTACTGATTGAGTCTGGGTGTGCTTGGCGGAAATTGAATGTTCAACGTACACTAGATGAGTCAACTACAAACCACATGAAGATGCGCTCAGTTGAAGCTGAACAAAGAACCAAATCACGCAAGTATAAGTTCTGACTATTTATTATCTTTTCATCTCATTTATTCCTGTTTTCAGCATGGTCTGTCCTTTGGCCATGGAGGACAGGGTTACACTCATTTTAGTTGTCCCCTTATTAGTCTTGGCATATGGGTAAAGTAGCCTTTGTTAGGTCTGTGAACAAAGAATTGGCACATTGCTGTTCATCTGAATGCAGTTTTGATCTGTTATTGTTATGGATGGGAGCTTTGTTTTATAGACTGAGTTTTGTTATTGCCTTAACCAGTTTCTATTTAAGCTGAATCATGAAATTTTTTTGCTTGGATATTATGACCTCTTTTAATGCTTGGACACCACATAGATGTTTCTCTCAGTGCATTGATAATTGGGAACTTCCTTCTTTATCTTTAATTTAGTCTCTCATCAATGTGGTCGATGATATACTACAGTTAGCCCTTTGTTCATTTCCTTTTTACTACTGTATACCTGAATCACCCCAACTTCTCCTGGTTCCCATTGACAGGGCAATCGTGTTGGATCCTGGGAATCCATCATTGACCAAGCAGTTAGCTCTTGCTGAAGGTAACTTTTTGGTTGAGATATTTTCTTTCTAGTTTGTTGATATGCAACAGACTTCTCTGGCTTTCTGAACTTTTTGAGGAGATTATTATATGAGGATGGTTATGAATTTTTTTTTTAGTACATAAACCAAACTTCTGTTCCTACAACCTTTACCTTAGTTTGCTCTGCCTTCCTCTCGTGCTCTCTCTTGTCCTTCGAATGCAGTAATCTAAGAATCTTACCAGCGTAGTTAACCATTCTTGTTTTAACTTAAAATTGTACTCTTAATATTTGACGTTTGAGTAGCTAGCACCTGATGATATTTGGATATGACTTTTAATATTTTGACTCCTACATTGTCTTGTCAGCAAATCCATGGAGAACGTCGAATAAACTGAAAAAGGAACCACCACACAAGAAGCGGAAGGTTGATCCATCTCCAGGTATATAGACAAAATCTTTTCTCCGATTAGTGTGTGGCAGCGCGTTAAAGTTTTAAAAAGTTTTAAAGGCTATTGCATTCACGTCATCTTTCTTATCCATTCACTATTAATCATGGTGCTTGCATTAGTTCCAATTGGAGGTCCAAAGCCTGCTTTCAAACCAGGGGCTTCCACTGCTGCTGGTAAAGGTAGACCCTCGGCTTCACCAGGACCATCTCCTAATCAGACCAATGATTCACCTTCTCCATATGGAATTGGGAATTTAGCTAAAAGTCATACAGCCACCGAAGATGTCCCACCAGTCCAGTCAAAGAGCAAAGAAAATCCAGTTGTTAGCGAAAAAGATCCTTCAACTAGGGCAACTAATGCATTAAGGGACACATCTGGAAACAAAGCCAATAATTCTAACAAACCAATTGATTTGCAGACGTTGATGATTAATCTCCTAAAAGATGCTCCGATGAGCTTGAAGGTAACACAGATCAAATGCCATTTTCATGGCCATTTTGATACCTATATATGTTTTCTTTTCCGTCATTTACTATTGATGACACACACACTCTCTATCTCTCTCTAGGCACTGGAGAAGGCTGTTGGAGATAAAACCCCTAATGCTGTAAAGAAGATTGAACCCGTTTTGAAAAAAGTAAGCAATGATGACCTTTGTATAGTACCTGAGAGTAGTATATATTCTTACTTTTTTAGTTATCCTTGATAATCAGATTGCAAATTTCCAAGCTCCAGGAAAGTATTTCTTAAAATCAAGCACAGAGTTGGAAAGCTATAAGAAGATTTCACCTGAAAGGGGAAGGTATGGGCAATCTTAAATGATAATGTTGAAAGATCATTTGGAGAGGGAAGTCCTCGGCATATGGCTCTTTAGAAACTGTATATTGGCTTACAAATGCATATGGTGCAGGTGTTTCATTGGTCAATCTTATGTGACATGAGGATTGCATCCTATCATAAGAAAATATGTTTTCAGCAATGTTCTCTCTATTAGACTGTTTATTTTATACTTTTTCACTATCAGATTGTTGCTCTCACACCATAAAAATGTCTCTGGTTTCTTCGTTAAAAATTATCTGAAGAAAGCAAAATAAGTAAGATAATGTTACATGCCTTTTTATCTTCAAAACTGTCTACTTGAACTATCATTATTATTATATCAGCTAGGGCAAGATGAATTCAAAAGCTGTACAAAAGGTTAATTACAAAATATGTACTTTTAAGTTTGGAATTTTGTTTCCATTCCTATTCTCATTCTACTTGGTGTGAATATACTTTTTCTTTGCAGCTCACCCGAAGACGAGCAACTGCGGTCAATTGCTGAGTGCAGTCATGATCAGTCACCTGTGAGAGGGGCCGACAATGTGGAGAACGTTTCTGTTAGTGAGTTTACTGGAAAGTGTGAACAAGATGGCATGCCTATACATCCAGAAGAACTATCAAGTTCACCAGAAAATGTTGACATTGAACGCCTTTCACCTGGTATTGTCGATGAGGGAAAAGCATCTGAAAATAGAGGAGGCCAGGCTGGTAGTTCTAGTTATTCTGGAAGCGGCAGTGACAACAGTGACTCTGGGAGCAGTAGTGATAGCGAGGATTCTTCCAACAGTAAGGAGGGTTCAGATGAGGATGTGGACATCATTAGTGATGATGATAGAGAGCCTCGGCATATAATAGTGTCTGCTGAACTGGGGTTGCCTGCTTTGAATCTCCTAAGTCAGACAGAGGGTTGTGGAATTGGTCAAAATGAATCTGCTAAAAATCAAGAGGGTGATCGATTCGATGCTGTTGATTCTGAGAGTCATAGTTCAGATGCAGTTGACATTGAAGTTCATGATTCTGATACTGTTGACATTGAAAAAAGTGGGTCTGATGCTGTTGACATCGAGGGTCACAGCTCTGACAACAGTCATGGTTCTGATGGTGTCAAAAAATTTTACTCTGTTAATAACGGGAAAGTGGAGGCCACTATTGAACTCAGTCCTGCTGCAAATGAGTATGGTGGGAATCTGGGGCAGGAACCTTTTTCTTCTGATCATGACAAGCCACAAGAGTGCCAAAACTTTATAGGAAGGTTGTTTGATGACACAGATAATATGGTGAAGGGTAGCTTCAACAATGAGCAATCTGATAGCCCTGAGAGGCGAGCCAGAGGTAAAACCAATAGGTGCCCTGATTTGGAGCACTTTAATCAGAAATCAGAAAGGGTGAAGAGGTTGAAAGCAGAGAGCACGAATCAGTTTCCTACTCTGGGCAAAGATTCACACCCTTCAGAGAGCATGTATGACCTGTCACCTAATAAATGTGGCGAAGAACCGATAAAGGCCTCAACCATTCAAATGATAGATTCAGCTGACAAGGGAACTGATGTTAATTGTGATACACATGGGGGACTTAACAAGGCAACTAGTGAAAAATCGAATTCAGATTTCCAGCCATCAAGTTTAAAAGTACCTAAAAGTACGCAGATCAAGCATATCGATGGATCAGGGAGATCAGACAAACATACGGGTGCTGCGGACAGTGTCCGTAAATCTACTGAGGGAGACCATTATTCACATGAAGTTCTTTCTAGCCGAACAGGAAAGGCTTCCAGGGACAACCAAAGGGACAGTAATCATCCAAGAGATAAGTTTCAACGGAATAAAATGGATGGTGAATCAGACAGCAAACATGCTGTGCCGTCTGATGGCCCCAGTAGGAAATATGGTGAACTGGAAGGAAATGACAAAGATGGTAAGAATGTTTCAGGATCGAGCTTAGGATTGTTTCCCTTAGATAATGAGAGGGCATCTTTGAATCAGAGAAAATCTTTGCCAAATTTTCCTGCCAAGGGAAATGGATCTATGCTCCAAAAGACTGTCTCGGACTTGGAGTTGGGTGAACTTCGGGAACCATCGGGTAAAGATACAGAAGCTAAGAAACTTGAAAAGAAAAGCTCTTTTAGGAAGTTAGATAATAAACCAAGCAATTCAGAGAGCTGGGATATGGATTCAGATAAAAGAAAGCCATCTAAAAAGTCTAACTTTGACTCAAAAAAGCCCTCACCTCCACATGCTGGCAATGGTTTTAAGGGAATGCCAGAACAAGGCGTTGAAGATTCATCAAGATCTCACAAATGGGGTTTGCAATCACATGTGCAGCATCATTCAGGAGAAGATGATAAATTGGAGGAGACAAATAATAAATCAAGGCATAATGACAGTGGAGCAAGACCTGGAAGTAGTGGCGAAGGTTGTGGAGAGACCAACAAGAAGGTGTCCGCTGTTGCATCACAACAACATGGCTCTAAACGGGGATCCATTTCCCGCTCATCAAGAGAGAGCAAAAGACATGCATCTGGTGCAACTGTAAATTTAGTCAATGGACAGAAAGGTGCAGGTTTAATACCAAATGACAGCGTTGATCATAAGAAAAGAGAAACATCTTTTGATGACGAAGACTGCGCTTATTTGAAGTACGAGAAGGCATCTCCTGAGCTTAAAGGAGCTATTAGGAATCATTCTCAGTAAGTAATATGTAACTGTAATGTTCTAGAATCTTCACTGTAAGTGTTTATATTTCTAATATTTATGTCTTTAATGTCAGGTATAAAGCCTACATACAGGAATATCAGGATAAATATGGTAGCTACTGTTCCCTTAACAAGATATTAGAAAACTTCAGGTAGCTGGATGAACTTCTTGGCCACTACTCTATGGTTCTATCTCTTGCGTTGTCCTATTTTATCAGTTTTCTTGAATTTATTGGATCTGTTTTTTTGTTTTTAACAGAAATGAATTTCAGAAAATGGGAGAAGACCTTGAGTTTGCAAAAGGCAGGGATGTGGAGCGGTATAACAAATTGTTTCAGCAGTTGAAGGAATCTTATAGCAAATATGGGGAGGTAGTCTTCTATCTCATAACTTCTTTTTTATCTTATTATGTCCTCTCTGGAATACTAAGAATTGAAATACTATTTCACGGAAAAGAGATTTTGGCTCGCACAGAAGCTTTCTTTTTCCCTGGTTGAATTGCCACCTCTAGATCTAGTATTAGGTATATAAAATGAAATGTGGATACAGATTTGTTATAAGTAAATTCCGGTAGGCAGAGAGTGAGGGAAACAGAGGGAGGGGCAAAATAAGTAAAAGAGGGAAATGCCATTTGAAAATTCTGCAAAGAGATCACCATCCTTTTTGTTTATTGTTAGAGAGCAAAGTGTAAGCATCTTATATCTGCTTAAGTCAAAACTGGACAATTGTTGAGTGTTCAAGTTTTAATTCTTTACGATAACGATGTCTACTACACAAACCTGCAGAGGCACAAACGTTTGAAGAAGATATTTATTGTTCTACATGAAGAACTGAAGGTAATATTTTTTTCCTATCACAAAGCTAATTACTCTAGTTTTCACACTCTTTTTGTCGGTATTTATACATGAAATTTGATCACATTAAAATCTTTCACAGCATCTAAAGCAAAGAATCAAAGATTACGCCTCGTCTCATTGAAAAGATTGGGCATAGTGTGATGAAATTCCAGAACCAGACTCCATGGAGATTTAAGGTACTCTTGAGATGATTCATTCTGGATACTAAAATTCGAGCCGGATTCAATCTCATGAACATGAAGATGAGAAAAAAAAAGAAAAAGAGAAGGGGATAGATGAATTCGGAGTCGATATCTCGTGGTTTTCGGGTGTGTGGATAGTAGAAGTGTTTGGTCTAAACTTGATTATGATTCATAGGTTAAGTTTTGTGGTAGTTTTTTTAGGGGAGAAATTCTGATTAGATGATATGATCTTCTGGGTTTTGTGTTTAGCTTTATATGTTGTTCTTTGTGTCCCTTAACACTAAGTTTGTACATGGAATTGCAAGGCAGATAAGTACTGTTTGGGTTTTTATATAACAGATTAGAATGAAAAAAAATGGGTTCTAAGGTTCTTTTGATGGTTCATGCAACGTGGAATCTTCTTTATTTTCCTATTATTTGTGTCATCTTAATCTAAAAGTTAAATTTTAATCTATAAATCGTGCATATATACATACACTGTCGTAAAATTAACAAATCCATATAGAAAGATGTTTTAAATATCGGATATCTCTGATATGTATATATTTTTAGGGCTATATATATTTTTTTTGTTGAGCCTCCTAGAATCCGAACATCATAAAAATATATTTTGATCTAACGGGTTAATTCCATAAAAAATTCCAAACTTTTTAAAATGTTCGATATAAAACTTTTAACTTATAATCTTCTATAAAAAAAATATAAAACTTTGAATTTGGTAAAGTTTTTTACAAAAATTTAAAATTTATAAAACTTTGAATTTGGAAAAAATTTTCACAAAAATTTAAAATTTAAAATTTTCTATGCGCAAAAAAAAAAAAATATTCACCTTTGATTTGCACAAATACAAAAAAGAAGAAGAAGAAGAAATGTGAATCCATGATTTGTAAAGGAGTCTTTGCTCATATTTGTACTAGTAAGACCTTTAGAAGAGATGAACATTTATATAACAAAACAAAACATATTTTAAAAATTGAGTAGATATGATTTTTTAAATTAAATTAATTAAATCAAATTTATAGAAATATTACAAAATGAATTACAAGCAAAATATTTTAGAAGGTAAACTATTTCCATAAAAAATTAGGTATGATATAAAAGAAAAAATGAAAAATAATATATAAATATTCAAACTTTTACAAAAATCCCAAATAAATATCTAAATTATAAAATTTTTAAATAAATATATGAACTTTTTAAAAATTATATATAAATATCTAAATTTTTTTTTAAAATCAATTAGAATCCGATAACAATGTTAAATTATTTAACGGAATAAAAAAACGGTGATTTGATAATAAAAAATCATAACAATTATCTATGTCATATCTCATGTCATCTAGATCAGTTTAATATTTAAAATTATAATCAAAATTGGACCAATTGGGTTTTGAAATTATTAAACCTATCAAAAAACCTAAAATTCTAAAATCCCTAAACTTAGCCGAATCAAATCTCCTTTTTTTTTTTTTTATAACGCATCCTTAGTCTTCTTCCTTTTTTTTGGTAACGCATCCTTCGTCTTCTTCCTCGCCGAAGAGAGAGAGATTTGTAATTTTAAACATTATACCGAATGGCATGTGATATGGATAATTATTATGATTTTTTTTTCTGTCAAATCACTGAATTCCGTTGAATAATTAAAGCTCAGATTGTGATTGATTTGATCTGTCAAATCACTGAATTCCGTTGAATCAAATCTCCAGATGTTCTGATCTGTTTTTTGCAACACTGACAGATCATGAGATTTTGCCAAAGTTTCATCAGTGAGATGTACAGATATCTGGATCCTGACAAAGTAAGTAGTGTGGGTTTCTGCTTTTTAGCAAGTATCTGCTTTCCGCGGCACTTTCAATGTTTTCTGGAAGATAGGATTTTCCGTCAGAGGAGATGGGTGTCGGTACTCAGAGAAATGGGATACCTCTTTGGACAGTATAGATGCCTAGCTGGTCAGTTTCAGGTACTAAAAATCCTTCAACACCATATAATTTGCTGGATTTCCACTCTCTGCTGTTCTGTTTTTGTCTCTTCGCAATGTGAAACTGTTTTTTGATTTTGCATTTTTGTTGTAGAGCACGTTAAACTATTCCTTTCTAGTCATACAGTCGGGTGTTATTAGATTTTTTTATTAGTATCAGAGCCTTTAACTGTTGGAACAAAATAAAGAGTTTTGGCTGTTGTATCTTTGTGTCAATTACTTATGCAGGGAAGTTTTACAGGACCAAGGATATACTGGGCTGGTTCAAGCCTTAGAACTGAAGCTAGTGGCTATGGTGTGGTGAGGATCATTCTTTTATATTTTCTTACATTGGAAAGCAGTCTATATAAAAATGTCCATATGAACTAATTATTTTGCATCATTTCAGCTTTCTTTTGCATGACTTATACTTGCAGATATGAACAAAGAAATAAAGGGACTAAGGTACCTTCCTTCCTTTGTCCCTTTCTCTTTTTATTAATCAATCTTCCTTGACCTTTTTGAGCCTATAATTGATACAACCTGTGAGGTTTGATTTACATCGAGCTTGGATCGGTCCGATGTTGAAGCTGATGTCATGATTAATTAGTTGTATGTGAGCATGTTAACAGAGCTCTCTGCTAATTATTCAGCTGCTGAAGATCCCATCACCATTTACTTGTTGCTTTGTTAGAGTTCCATCAATGTAGGACAAAATGCTGATTCATATTTGCTGTTGTTTCTGATGCTAAGTTTTGTGCAGATTCAAAGGGATATTTGGTGGATGAAGATGGTTTTGATTATATGAAACTTGCATTGTTGAGGGATATAAAAGCCCAGCAGAGATTTTTGAGGTATTTTAATTGTACATACACATTAAAGTTTTCCTTGTGTTATTTCAGTTGGTAATTCACGCCGTCTTTGCAACTGTTTGCAGCGACTACTCCAAGACATACGCACATTCAAAATACTTTGAAGAAGCAAAGCCATGGAGTGAGAGGTGTGACGTGGCATTCCTCTGTGCTTCTCAGCACGAAATCGATCAATCAGATGCCATCAATTTGGTTAATGCGGGATGTTGCTTGCTTGTTGAAGGTTAGGAAATGGATGGGGATTTTTCCTTATATTGGAATTCAACATTCTTGATTTCTCCTCTTTCTTCTCTCGTTTTTCCTTCTTCATGTTCTTCCTTTTTTTACTTCCTCTCCTCTAAGGAGTGTGAATGTGTATTCCTTGAGGGTCAAACATGCCATGTACAGCTGGAGCAGTTGATGTTCTCAGAAAGGCGAGTGTTCTAATTGCTCCCGCCATTGCTGCGGGAGCTGGAGGGGTATGTTCTTCTTTTTCCCGTCAATACTTCCTACCGTTTAATAGGTTGTTTTTAAAAGTTCGAAAGCACGTAATAGAAAACAGTGTGTGTGTGTGTGAGGACATGCATAGGCTTCTTTCATTTGGAAATGCAGGGCTATGTAACCTTAAAAAGCACATGTTGTTCTTACGATAATACTTTGATGATGAATTTTGATGTGTTTGATCCTTTTTCGTTGAAGGTTACTGCAGGGCAAATAGAAGTGCTTCGTGAATGCAATTCAATGCAGTGGTCAGCTGAAGATTTTGTGACTGATTACAGGTAGTAACATCTATCATTCATGTATTTAATAGTTGTTGTTCTGATAATATGCCACTGTAAAGATGGTAAATTTGCTCTTGTATTGGCAGGAAGCACTGAAGCAGACTTATGAGAAAGCCCATAAAGCAGCTAATGTTTTCGGTTATCAGAAAGAAAGCCCTGAGTAAGTGTTCTTAACTGATTCGATTGCATCCTGTTCTGTTCTGTCCTAAACCGCTCTGAAGCTTCCTCCTTCCTTTCCATACGAAACACGTTAGGAAAGGGTTGTGTACTTGGAACCCTACCCTTGTCCTGTGGGGAATTAGTCAAATCCATCAATCCTGCATCATTGCAGGGCACTTGTACATGGAGCTACCATTGCTACGTTTCTGAACATAGCTCAAGCCATGACGGATCAAGGTTGCGTTTAGAATATCAAAAACCAATTCTCGGAATTCTCGATGCCAAAATTTGCAGATTGCCCGAGTTTTATACCTGAAAGATGTCTGACATATAGGAAACAATCTGTAACATATACATATATACACATAAGATGTAACTTGTGCAATGATCATCAGCTGGTAATAAAATGAAGTTCTGTTGCATTGTTTTTCATCAGGATTTGTGTTTGTGCCATAGCAGCAGACAAAACTAAAGTTACATTATCCAAGCAGAGCATTACATATAAAAAGCTCGAAAGAAGCTCACACCCTTTATGGGCGTTCTCTTTCACAAAGTCTCCCTATAAACGAATCACAAACCCGGGATCATAGAAGGAAAAAGATACTCATAATCCTCAAGGTATTCGAGCTGATCATCATACTCAGAGCACTGGAGGCATCACTATAAAGATTCAAGAATGCAGGTTCGTGAAGAGGGAAGTAAACTTCTTAGCATTCTATAAGGTTACCTAGTTTGCTCTCCTCGAAGAGTGGGTGGAAGAATCAGATTTCTCGGCCAAGTAGTGTTCAAGCATATCTTCTTCATCATCTGTATCAAAATTAAACAAAAGACTGGTGTTCTTAAGAATTATGTTTTGGTTAGGGAACAATTATGATGTATAAAACCAACAGAATTTCCATTTTCACCTTCAAAATCTTCATCATCAAAGTCGATGTCTTCCTCATCTTCCTCTTCAGAATCTTCATCAACAGTGGCTGCAGTTCCTCTCTGAAAGAGGAAGGCACGAGATCGAAAGAATTATTGTTTTTTGTTAAAATCGGTATTAGCTATTAGTCCATGAAAAGACTCCTATTATGAATCTGGCAGTATTTGTGAAGAAAAGAAGAGAAATACCGCTCTCCCACTCTCAAACCACTGTCTTCCGGAAAGCCTCTTCTCTTTAGTTGTAGTGAGCGCAGAATCGGGCATCAGCCTGCAAATTTCGCTCATCGATATGAAACCAAATGATGAATGAAGATATGTTCAAGCATATCTTTCTCATCATCAGGTAGACAATAGCATCTCCCATTGGAAATGATACTAATTTCCCAATGTTCTTTCGGAATAAGAGAAAGGGACAAACCCAGAAACCAAATCTAACCAAAGAACATACGAGTAACACACGGAGATACTCACTTGGCTCGCTCAAGTGCAAGCTCTGCTTCATATCTTTCTCTCCATGCCAAAAATGTATCCACAGTAACCGGTTCACCATGAGGGACAATCACCTGCCCAAATAATTCAGAAAGGAAGAGAAAAGAAAAGACTATTACTGCAAATTCGCATACTATGGATAAGAAGGCAGGACTGAAAATGCTTGTAGATAGAGACAGCAAATACCTCGTCCTCTTTTGCAGCCTCCTCCTCAGCATTTAAAGTCCCATCTTCTTGGCCATAATGTTCATTCAGCCAGTCCTTGACTGATGTCACAAGGGTATAGATCATAGCCATACCAAGATTTTCTGTTGCCTGTGGAAAATAACATCTTTTTTGTTATGTAGACTCGGTCAAACAACTGCATTACATAAAACAATTGGCTTAATTTTTGAAAGAGTACGAACGAGGATCTGATTGAGCAGAGAGACTACTTCTAGGCTTTTATATTCAGCTCATACAAAAGTAATAACATGTCAGAAAAGTTGCAAGATGAATTTACCTCTTGTTCCAGCTTCTGTTTTAGGGTTTTGAGATCACTGTTATGGATTCCTCGTATACTGGAAAAGATCACACTATCAGAATGAAACTCATCCTACAGCCACATCAACTTTAAGCAATATGATGGCGAAAAATTACCTTTTCACATCCAAATGCGGAACTTCATCTGGATAATTTTCTGTGTGCGAGAAAATCAGAGCCAACTGAGCTGCAACACAGGTTAAGAACTTTTAGATTAGAAAAAAACAAAGGTTCAGGATAGATGCTTTAGGCATTCATATGTAAAACATAACAATGAGTCTAAGTGTTCATATCAGTTTTAAGAGAGTAACCTGTTGCTATTGATGGCTCCTCTAGATCGTCTTCCTATTCAGACAAAGAAAAACTCAGGATTAGAATAGAAACAATTCCAAAAGCAGAAGACATTGCAGCTAAACTGGAACTTTTAAGCACCATTAACAAGAAAAACAACAACACATCTTTCGACTTGTATAATCTGTTAAACAAGCAATATATCCGAATGGATCAGTGGGCGGTAGAGTATGAAGACATCTGAGAATCAAAACATACAAGATCATGGTGCATAATACGAGAGCCGGAGAAAAAGGATGAACGAACATTCTACCTGGGGAGAAATCAATATCTGGAAACACCGATTTGAAGTATTTAGACCGCTTTCACCAGAGTGAATTTCTGCGGCAAAAATTCGGAGGAGAACTCAATGTTGCATCAGTCTTACATAGAAGAGACAGAGAAATCTTATATTCTAAAGGAAATAAACCTTTAAACTCGTCCATAAGTATAGCTTCAAGAGCTTCAATCTCCATCTCCTGTTCCTGCTTATAGTCTACAAGACAAAACCCACAAACGATTCTCAGATCGATCATATGAGATCTATAACAGTCAGAAATCAAAAGAGAGAATGAAAACCTAAAGAGGGTTTCTTAGCTAATCTAAAAATCCTACGAAATTCACAGATACGCAGCAGGCATCTCCGAACACTCCATATTACATACTACTCGACAAAAGAAAAATCGATGATGATGAAGGAAAAACCGAAAATTGGAAGAAAGGCTTGATCGGATTTACCAGTCATGATTATCAAAACAGAAACTTTCGCGAAATCTGAGATTGTTGGCTGATGTCTGAGAATCGATAAAATCACAGGCGCCTCGTGAGCAGAGAGATTGCGACGAAAGATGACCTAAGGAAACGAAAGGAAAGCCACCAAAACGCTGTCGTTTTTATAGAACACGGTGGATACCACTCTTTTTTGGTCTCTCCGAGGAACCAAACAGAATATATCAACCAAAAAAAAAAAAAACCAAAGTTCCCCTTCTCTCTCTCGCCCTTCCCTGTCTTCTTTCATCTTCTCTCTCTCGGCATCTCTTCTTCTCCAGAGACGGAGGAACGGAAAACCCTTCCAGAGAAAAACCTCGGTCTCTGCCGTTGTTTGGTTAAATGGAAAATCTTGAAGCTTTCTCGTGGAGAGGAAATATCGGAGAGTAGTCAAAGGACACCTGGATCTCATGTTCTTTCTCTGGTAACACTTCTCTTCCTAGATCTCTCTCTCGCCAAGGGAAACCCTTTTCACCGAGCTCCACATCTTTATCTATCGATTTCAACTTCTGGGCTTTGGCCTGCATGTTGGGTTTTGAGGTTTCCCACTGATTCTACCTTTGCAGGATTCAACGGGGCATCTCTCTATCCTCGAAAGCGAAGATAAAAACTTCGTGGGCGATTTTTTAAGCTACAAAGTTTTGAGTTTTTAGATCAGTTTTGGAAGTTTTGTCTGCTCTTACTTTCTGGGGGTTTCGGTTTCTTCTCGTTGTCGGCATCTTCTGGTTTGGTTCTCGAAGTTTTTGGCGTGGTGGGTCTGTGTGTGTATGTGTGTGATGGGGAGTAGCGATGAGCGCAACATCAAGGCCATTGATGCATCGGTAGGAGGTTTGGTCTGGGTCCGCCGTCGAAACGGGTCCTGGTGGCCTGGTCGGATTATGTGTCTTGACGAGGTTCCTGATGGTTGTCTGGTTTCCCCAAAAGCAGGCACTCCGATAAAGCTCCTGGGTCGTGATGATGCAAGCGTGTGAGTATTCTCGACTACACGACACGTTCAGTCTCTAGCTTGTTCTTGGTTTCGTTTTGAATGATTGAATCTTCTCTGTTTTCTTTATGAGCTTGTTTGGGGCATTGGGCATTGTTTACAAGTGCTGTGGATCTGTTTTTCCCTCTTTACTAGATTGATACCAGAAAATGCAATGTTCCTATTTCCGATCTCTCGAAGAAGAACATATAGGTAGTTCTAGATTTTTGGAGCTTGAGGAAGTTTAGGTTTTTGATGAATTCAGTCTTATGAACTGAAAACTTGTTCCTTTGACTTTGTGTTTGCATTGTTATGATTTGTGACATTGAAAAATCAACTTGGCTCGGTATAGGGAAGGTCTCAACTGTATTTCTATGTTTATATGAGACACAATGATTCTCAGAATTAGTTGGCCTTTTTCAGACAGAAAAAAAATTCATCTTGATTATTGTTTCAGGGATTGGTATAATCTTGAGAAGTCTAAGAGGGTGAAGGCATTCCGTTGTGGTGAGTATGATGCTTGCATTGAGAAGGCAAAGGCTGCTGCAGCCGGCTCGGGTAAGAAGGCCGTCAAGTATGCTCGCAGGGAAGATGCCATCATCCATGCTCTCGAGATCGAGAATTCTCACCTTTTAAAAGATCATCCTGATCTCCAAATGACGAAACAGAATTTACCTGTCGAGAAGACGAGTTCATCTAGGGAGATTTCTAAAAGGTTTCGTTCTAGCAAAGACAATGAGAAGACAACCGATGTAGGAGATGCTAAAGATGAGGCAGATTCAGGACCAGAGCTGTTGCAATCCGGTGTGTCCTTTCAAGAAGCCAATAATAATTTAGTTTCCAGGGAGCGGTCTCTGTTGGAAAAGAGAAGAAGAAGAAGAACCCCTAATGACTCGGAAGATGATGGAACTGAAGGAATCAAACGGATGAGAGGGCTTGAAGATCTCGGAATGGGAATAGGGTGCAAAGGGAAAGGACAGGCCACTGCACTGGTCGAGCATATCAGACACGAAAATGGTTTGCTATGTGATGTAAGTCTCAATGATGGTACGATGCCTAATGGGAATCTTGTAAATGGCGAAAGGGTTTGCTCTCCTTCACTAAAAAGAAAAAGGTCCCAGGTTGTAAATGCCAATGAGCACTCAAGGCGGAAAAATAGACGCCGACCATTGACCAAGGTGTTGGAGAGTACAGCCATGGTGTCTGTTCCAGTTACCTGTGATCAATTTGTCAGTTCTGATTGCTCGCCTCTTACGGGATTTTCTGATGGCAAACTCTCGGGACTGGAGCCTATTGAACCAGTGAAAAGTGTATCCACTGTGATCAACAATAACTCAGATAGTACGGGGGTCTCTTGCGAGAATGCTATCTCGTTAAATGCTTCAGAGAATGTTGTTGAAACATCACATAACAAGTCAAAAGATAGTGAAATCTCAAGCATATCGGATTTGGCGGTGAATGAATCCTCTGACAGATTGTTTGATGTTCCACTAATCGGAGAGGAGAAGCAATCTGCAGGTATTAATGGGTTAAACTTTGTAAATAGCTACAGTTTCGGCTTTAAACTATGTCTGGTAAATGGTCTTTGTGTGGTCGTTACACATCAAGCTGACTTGTTGCTATGACTGAAAATTTGCAACTTTGGCTGGTTAGATTTGCCAGGAAAGAACAATTGATGATGGATTTGATGCTTTTTCTTAGCGGATTATGGGTTTGTATTTGTCCTGGACTCCTGGCAAAGTGTGTCTTTGGTTCTGTTCTGTATCGTGTTAAGAGCCATGATCATTTATTATTTAGGTTTCTCTTGATGTTCAATTTGTTTAGGCTGTTAATGTTTATCGGTTTTTACCTGTTTGGATTGGATGTTTGATCTATGAGATCTGAGTTGATGGGTTTTTCTTCTCCAGGTTTTCCTTCGGCTTTTACATCTTGCTCGCCCAGGAGAGGTCTAGTTTCTGGATCGACGAGGCCCTGTAGTCAGAGCAGTCATGACGATGTGTTTAAAAAGGAGGGCAGGAATGTTTCTGTCTGTATGAGTCCCGGAGCAAAACGTGTTAGCGGTAGTATCAATGGGATTGAGAAGAGCACATCGAAGTGGCAGATAAAAGGAAAGAGGAATTCGAGACAGATGAGTAAGAAACAAGAAGCGAGAAGAACAGCAGATGCAGATGAAACAAACGATCCTCTGTCTCGATTCTTCATGTCTGGTCAAAGAGGACAGCCTCGTTTGAGCGCCAACTCGTGTTATATGACCCGGGGAGATCAAACGGAAAGGAATTCCGGGCTGTACGAAGTAAAGATCGAGGTGAAAGCCAACTATAACAAACCAAGAAACGTTCCTCTAGTTTCTCTTATGAGTAAACTGAACGGGAAAGCCATAGTTGGGCATCCATTAAGTGTTGAACCGTTGGAAGATGGCTCATGTGACCACCACCACATCGTCAGGGCCTTTGATGATGTTCCCATGGTTGATGGTGGTGATGATGATGATGCTCATGTGAACCCGAAACCATCGTCATCCAAGAAGAAGAAGAAGAAGAAAACGAATATGCCTCCACGGAAACCATCAAAGTCGAAGAAACCATCGTCCTCCCTGTTGAAAAAGACGAGAAGGCTATCGGCATTGACAGGGCATAAGCCGAGGGGGAGAGGCAAGAAGGAAATGGAAGAGAAGCCGAAGGGACAAGTCGTGGCGTGTATCCCACTGAAGCTAGTTTTCAGTAGAATCAACGAAGCCGTGAAGAGTTCGACGAGACAAATGCACCATCATCGTCCACTGCCGTCCACGGCCAACCCGTGAGAAACCCGTCGGCCTTTGACCCTTTTCGGGGTGGCTTTTTTTTTTTGGGTTCCTTCTGCATTATTTTTTGTTCATTGGCCTGAAATGGAAGAGATATGGCATTTGTGTACAATACACTTGAGGAGTTTTAGCTTCTGTAGAGGAAAAAAAACGGGGGAAGTGGCTCTAGAGAAGGTTGAGGAAGGTGGATTGTAATGTAAATATGAAGAAGTAGAAGTAGTGGAGGTGTAAAATTGCTAAGTCTCAGATTTTAGGCTGAGGATGGATCATGACATTGTTGGCTCTCTACTTTGTTCCTCTTCTTTTTTTTTTTATGGGATTTGTTTTAGTTTTCTTTCTTGATTCAAACATTTTTTTTTCTTACCAAAGACAAGGTTGGTGTGGTTGGAGGGAGGATACTTGTGTTGTGTCGGGTACCCCTGAAAAAAATTAGGGTTTTAATCTTATTGGGATCGGAATTTCAATTTCAATTTTGCACATTATGAAAAAGAAGAGTTTGTAAAGATGGGTCAGCACTTGAGGAATTGTACTGATCACCTTGGTTGATAATTATTCGAGGGAAGGGCAAAATCGTAATAAACAGCCTGACTGCAAAATTAGGGTTTAGGGGGCACGACCAAACCTCAACATAAAAAAGCCTCCTTTCGCATTCCACTCTGCTGTTCGCACTACGCCCGACCTCGCAAGCAAGTTTAAGCCCTAGAGAAGGTTTTCTCTCTTTCGGCTCTCCCTCTCTCTCTCTCTCGTTTTGCAAGATTTCTATGAGGTTATTGATCTATTCTTTTAAAAGGTGCAGGAGAGGCAGAGATGGCGACGGTTCCGGGACCATTGATATGGGAGATGGTGAAGAAGAACAACTCCTTTCTGGTGAAGCAATTCGGAAGAGGGTCCGCTGGGGTTCAGTTCAGCAAGGAGAGTAACAATCTCTACAACCTGAACTCCTACAAGCACTCTGGTAATAGATCCGATCTGTCTCTTGCTTTGTCTGCGTGATCTGCAACTTTTGTACATGTATATGTGTCGATGGAGATTCTTGTTTGTGTCCGTTGCACTAAGATGGATTGTTTTGGGTTTGTTTCTTACGCGAAACGTTTGAGAAATGTTTACATCTTTGAGCCATTCTGATTGTGTATCTGGTCTAATCATCGGGCACAGAGTGAAAAAGTTTAATCCTTTTTTTTCTCTTTTGTCATATGGGTTTCGTACGATTAGTTTAGCTAGTTATTCTAAGTCTTTGTCTGAATCTTGTGTGCTAAAACGAATTCTCAAATGCGAAAGCTGCTGTCTTTTCGTATTAAGATGTATCAACAAATGCTGATGAACAACGGAATTCAATTGCTACCTGACTGCTGATTTTTTGGGACCTTCGGATTTGTGGGTTAAATGGGTTTTTGGATATCTGTTCTGATAGGACTTGCAAACTCGAAGACTGTGACTATCCAACCCGAGGGCAAAGATGCTTCAGTGTTGCTTGCTACCACCAAGACAAAGAAACAGAACAAACCAGCATCTGTCCTTAACAAATCTGTCATGAAGAAAGAATTCCAGAGGATGGCAAAAGCTGTCACTAACCAGGTAGTTAATTCTCCACCACATAAATGTTTCTGATCCTTCTATTTTTTAGAAGGGACCTTCTATGATGTTGTTGAACAAGGGAGAAGCTGTGTTTTATATCAGTCTTTAATAGCTAAATCATTCCTAAAACCTGATCTACCAACCCGGGCAAGAACACTGTAATCTGATCGAAGTTTTTACCACTTCATGCTATGTGACCCATGGTTGTGAATTTGAGATTTTTTTGTGTGATGATGAAGCTTTAACACGTAAGAATGGCCCTTTTGGGGGTTCTTTCGATGAAATTCACTTGTTACGCTTGGCTTCTGAGCATCTTCTCCCAGGACTTGCATCTGTAGCTTGTAGATTCTTATGCGGCTTCAGACAATGTAGAACACATGATGAGTTTTTATGGTATTCTTTAATGGCTAGAAATCATTACCACAACATGATCTACCATGACAATACAGTTGCATTAGTCTGATCAATGCTCTTTAACTTTATAGATTGCTATGATGAAGCTATAACATGTAAGAAGAGCCATTTACAGGGTTCTTCGGTGAAATTCACTTGTTACGCTTGGCTTCTGAGCATCTTCTCCCAGGACTTGCATCCATAGATTGTAGATTCTTATACGGCTTCAGACAATGTAGAACACATGATGAGTTTTTATGGTATTCTTTAATGGCTAAAAATCATTACCAGAACCTGATCTACCCTAACAATACATACACTTGCACTAATCTGATGAATGCTCTTTTAACTTTATTTGATTGCTATGATGAAGCTATAACATGTAAGATGAGCCATTTATAGGGTTCTTCGGTGAAATTTACTCGTTACGCTTGGCTTCTGAGCATCTTCTTCCTTATATATACCGATACCGGCATTGCCAGATTCAGCCTTTTTTCTATATTTTCCCCTAAACATTCGTCGTTTATTGTAAACAGGTGGGTGATAACCACTACAGACCGGACCTTAAGAGAGCGGCCCTGGCGAGGCTGAGCGTTGTTCACAGGAGCATCAAGATTACCAAATCCGGGCCGAAGAAGAGGACCCGTCAGGCTGTTTCCTCCAACAAGTGATTTCACTTCATTGTTTCGGTATCTTTTTCCGAATCTTGAAGAAGACTAGAGGGCTCTTTCCTTTTGCTGTTTTAAGTGATTTAGAAATCGGAGGACATATATTACATGATTTTGCTCGTTTGATGCAAAAACTGGACTGATGAACATATGTCATCATGGTGTCGTCTGAACTAGAATTGCAGGATGCTTCCAAGACCGAGATTTTGATTTGTTTTTTCATTAGGTGGTGTATGCATATGCTTCCAAAGCAAGATTTCACGGCCAAAAATAAATCAACAGACAAATCCAAAGTGTTTATGCATGCGATATTGTGATGTCCCGCAGAGGTTGATATTTCTGTTTTGGTTTGTTTATTTTCACATTTGATATTTTATTTTTTATATATTTTGTTCAATTTAATTAAAAAAAATGTTTTTTTAAAAACTTATGTTCGTTTGTTTTTCTTAAAAAAAAAATTGTAAACAGGAATTTGATTTTAAATCAAGTTGAGGTTTTGAAAAAAAAAATCTAGAATGGAGAGAGTTTTCGGAGTTTCAAGCAGTTAACTAATATTAGGAAAAGCAACTAACTAATAAATGTATCATTATAATATTATATTTTTTGTTTTAATTATATTATAAAATATACCATTAAACATTTTCCAACCATTAGTTAATTAGGTGAAAAGTATACAGTTAATTAAAAAGTCACGTGTTAAAAGGTGGATGAAAGAATCTTTTTCGGAAAACAACAATTCCATGCTTCTACAAGATTCTTTCCTAACTAGATTAAAAGAAAACTTAATGATCATTAGTGGAATAACAAATGGTACAAATAAAAAAGGTAAACATATGGTAAAGATTTATAATTCAACATAGGTACGGGTACGGCCACTGAAGTTTAATAATAAAAAAAAAAGTCAAAAATAAATTATTTTTCCTAAAAAAATCACAAACTTGCAAAAATATATACAAATAAACCTTCAACTTAAAAAACTATCATTCAATCCCCGAACTTGTAACTTATCACTGAATAAAACCTCGAACTTGCAAATTATTACTCTAATAAACTTTTTACCGGTTTGACCACAATTTTAGGCGATCGGAAATCCACGTATTAACGGATTGTTGATGTCACCTTATACACGTTATCAATTTTAATTTAAAAAATGACATCAGTAATCCGTCAATACGTGGATTTCCGATCGTTTGAAATTGTGCTCAAACCGGTCAAAGGTTTATTAGAACAATAATTTGCAAGTTCGAGGTTTTATACGTTGACAAGTTACAAGTTCGGAGATTGAATGACAATTTTTTAAATTGAAGGTTTATTTGTATATATTTTTGCAAGTTTGAGGTTTTTTAGGGTTTTTATCCGAATAAAAATGAACATATATAAAGAATCTCAAGGTAATCCAAAACAATAATACAAAAGAAAATATATTTATATTCAGTGTGTAGTGTACGAAGCACTAGCAGTGGAAAAGTTTATAAAGGAGTCGAATCCCTCTGGTTGGTGACTCGTGTTTCGGTTGAATTGAGAGACCGAATCTTACGGATTCATCGTCACGCTGAATCTCTTCGTTCTCGTCTTCTGTCGACGATCGGTCGTCATGAGTTTCTGCAAATGGGTTTCTCTCATTTCGATCCTGCATTTACTCGATTCTTCGCTGATTTCATGTTCCTCTTCCCAATCCTCAAACGGGGTTTCCCAAATTCCCCAAAGGTTTCTCAATTTCGCCCAAAGGGATGGTTTTGTTGATTGGATGGTCGGAATCAGAAGGAAAATCCACGAGCACCCAGAACTGGGGTTCGAGGAAATCGAGACCAGTAAGCTCGTCAGAGCTGAATTGGATAAGATGGGCGTTTCTTACAAGTACCCAGTCGCTGTAACTGGCGTCGTCGGTTATGTCGGGACCGGTCAGCCTCCTTTCGTTGCGTTAAGGGCGGACATGGATGCTCTTCCTATCCAGGTATTGGCATTCAGTTCTTGGTTTCTCCTTCTCTACTTGAATGGATTATGAAAAGTTTGGTCCTTTTCTTCTCGGTGGATTATAATCGGAGATGTGTAGGAAATGGTGGAATGGGAACACAAGAGTAAGATCCCGGGAAAGATGCATGCTTGTGGACATGATGCTCACACAGCCATGCTTCTCGGTGCTACAAAATTACTCAAGGAACACGAGGAAGAACTAAAGGTTACTGTCCGATTCCACGAACAGTGTTTGAACATTCAAAAAATCTAGTGTATATTTGTTGTTAGCTTGTGAATTCTTCGAAACTATGGAAGAACTCACAATGTTGCCCATGACTCTGGTTCATTGAAACAGATATCGCATCTAGGTTTGTACTGTGATACTCTGAAATTGTTGTATTTGGCCATTTTCAATCAGGGGACAGTTGTTCTAGTGTTCCAACCGGCCGAGGAAGGTAGAGGAGGTGCAAAGAAAGTCATGGAGGCCGGAGTGTTGGACAATGTCGAGGCGATCTTCGGTTTGCACGTCGCCAATCGCTGGGAATCGGGCAAAGTGGCTTCCAAAGAGGGTCCAATGCTGGCCGCAAGTGGCACTTTCGAAGCCAAGATTCACGGGAAAGGAGGCCATGCTGCTCTTCCGCAATTTTCCATCGACCCGATACTGGCTGCTTCTCATGTCATCGTAAGCTTGCAACAGCTCGTCTCAAGAGAGGCCGACCCCCTCGATTCACAGGTCTATAACCTTCTTTTCCAACTCTCCTCTGCTGGCCCGACTGTTCTATGAATCATGGTCTTGTAGCTTGGATTTTAGTCTGCTTATCGGACCAGGAAGAAGGTCAATCTTTCAAATCAGAAATAAACGTTGTCTTGTGGTACACTTCTGTGTATGGCAGGTGGTTACAGTTGCCAAATTCAAAGGAGGTGATGCTTTTAATGTGATTCCAGACTCTGTCACAATCGGTGGTACATTCCGAGCCTTTTCGAGCGAAAGCTTTAACCAACTCAAGAAACGAATCGAGCAGGCGAGTGAAGTATTTGCAATTGGAACAGCAAAAACATAGGATTAAGTACCTTTAACTGATGTTCAGTTTGAGATTGTTTCATTGTTTTGTTTCCCCCGACAGGTTATCACGAGTCAAGCCAGCGTGCAAAGGTGTAACGCAACAGTGGATTTCTTCGAGGAGGGGAGACCCTTTTTTCCGCCGACTGTAAACGATAAAGAATTGCATCGGTTCTTCAAGAATGTCACAGGCGAGATGCTGGGGATGGAGAATTACGAAGAGACACAACCAGTGATGGGAGCAGAGGATTTCGCCTTCTACCAAGAAGCGAAACCGGGATTGTTTTACTTTCTGGGAATGGAAAAAGAGGGTCATCCACGTTTGGAAGGCGGCCATTCGCCCTATTTCCGGGTGAACGAAGGCTCGCTCCCATATGGCGCCGCCCTCCAAGCTTCCTTGGCAACCCGATATCTCCTCGAGCCCCGACCCCTCCATTCATCGCCACAGAAGAGTTACAAGGATGAACTTTGAAATTTTGGACCGAGTTTTCGATAAAGCAAGATTGGCATTGTTCAGTGTCTCCTCTCTATCCTCCGAGGTTACACAGCCATATGAGTATATCTACATTCTGCTGAAAGATTTCTTCTGTGAGAGCAATTGAATTGTTTCAGAGAAATTGATAGTTCTTCCTTGTTAATCCCCAGAAGCTATACATATGTCAGCAAACATGTATGTGCGCATATATTGGTTGATTATTACAACTTAGTAAGGAACCCTTTCAAGCGTTCTTCTGAAATCTGAGTTTTGAGGAAGAGTGAGAGTGTTTCTTCAAAAGGGCGAAAACATTTTCTTCTTCCTGATAAATACATATCGTCTATGGCATGTATAATTGCCGGTATTTGATGTATAACAACTACATATCGATCTGAAAAAGTTTAATCCTTTTTTTTCTCTTTTGTCATATGGGTTTCGTACGATTAGTTTAGCTAGTTATTCTAAGTCTTTGTCTGAATCTTGTGTGCTAAAACGAATTCTCAAATGCGAAAGCTGCTGCGAAGAACAAGAGAGTTGGGGGAAAAAAGAAAAAGGAAGAAAAAGACTTAATGAATCATGTTGTCGGCGTGTACGTGTCCCCTCTCTTCTTGTATCGTACGAAAGATTCTTGCAGCAGATTCAGAAGCTGAAGTTGAAGTATAAGGGGTTGTCTTGATGGGGTGAAGCGGTTCTTGTTGTCCGTGTACGTCTGTTTCTAGGTTTTGTCGTGTTGGTTCTGTCGGGAAAAGAGGAAGCACTTGTCGTTTATGCCTTTCAGGAGGGCTTGAAGCTGTACTTCCTTGTACGTCGCTGTCTTTAGATTCACGAGAGTTCTGTAAGGAGAAAGGCACTGCTTTGCTGACACGGCTCGATAAGCTGCTCAAGCTTTGCATTTGAGAAAATGGGTTCTCATGATGCTGTAATGGATGAGACAAGGGAAACCCTAATGCGTCTTCAATGGAGTCGTTGCTGTAAAATGGAAGCATGAATCCAGAAGTTGGGGGACTCGGTCCAGTGTATGGTTTGTAGACCAGCCCTTCGGAAGGGGACACTACAGGAACTAACCACTGCCTCCCGGGAGCCGAAAACCACCATGGAGATGATGATGATGATCGAGTAGTTGCCACCATGGAATTACAGCGCTTGGTGGAGATAAGTTCTTTGGTTATGGAAGGTAGTGGAAACTTTGGTATAGTACCCTTCTCGGGTGATTCGGTTTCAGGATTCAGTTTCTCGGTGTTGGGTTTCACCTTCGGAGCGATTTCCAGAAGATTTGATGATGATTTCTTCAATGTTGCAGGCTTTCTAGGGTTACAATTACCTTCAAGAAACAAGTTTGGTGATCTTGCAAGCCTCTTTTGAACCTGCGCGGAACCAGTTGCGTGGAACAAGTTATATACATTTGTTTATGTTAGGAACCAAACCGAGTTATGTTCGAGGAACTCACTGAAACCAATCTGTGCAACTCAAAAACTTGTCCTGCAAAGATCCTCTGATGTCTGAAAAGAGCGGCAAACAAAAGACCAGTAATGAGAAGATGGAATCACCGGAAAGATTATCGGGTCGAGATCATTAGAATACCTTATCATAGCCGTTCTCATCTTCTGAAACCGTTTGTTCCCTATTGCTTTGACAAATTTTTCCGGAGATGCATTCCAACCAGAGGCCGAGTCTATAACCGAGCAGCCCGAGACATTTTCGTGGCTATTATCACCGCCCATTACTCGATCTTTCTGATATATAGATTCTTCGAGTTTCTTTGGACTTTTATCATTATATCCAATGAGATTTCTTCTGTACAACTGAGTTCTAACCTTGATAGAACTCTTTGTTCCTGCATCTCCTAACAAAGAGTAGTTCTCTCTAAAGGGCATATTGCTAAGAACATTCTGGGAAAAACATAATGTTTCTTGATTTCTCGGTCCTGAAAGTCGATTCACAGGAGAGTTGTAGAAATCCTGAGAATGGATTGTTGCTTTGTCCCGAAACCGACTTCTCGTATTCTCCTCAAACACAGTGGCTTCACTGCTATTGTTGTGAAGCTGGAGGGCCAAGTCCGTGTCTGTTTCCGACCGTCCAACTCTAGGAGCTTTAAGATAATCCAAGCCGTCCAGATTCTTGATAGAGAAGTTCTTGAAATGGTAGCCATCCCGTTTCGATGAATCGGGTTTATCAGCCGACGAGAAGGATCCTATGATATTCGGATAATCCGGGCCATTTCCGGTCTTCCACTCAAGGCTATCGACAGTGAAATTCGACTTACCAACACTGTTCGAGGACGGATTCAGTTTATCAGCAAACTTCAAGGGCGAAGCAAATGGTATAAACATATCAGTCTTGTGTCCACCAGCCTGCAGGAATCATCATTATACGCATCATAAAGCAAATTCTTGAAATCAACATACAACTGAAAATCTACTAAACAGGCCAAGAACCTTGAGAATGGAGACGGGATATCGAAAAAAACGAACTTACGAAACAAGATCTGCCGCTAGAATTGGTGGCGGTTGGGAGAAGTGAATCCGGGACGAGACTCAGCGAAGGAATCCTCGACTGAGACCACGTCGTTCTTCCTCTCTCGGCATCGTTAACGTGGACCCGAGGAAACATCAACGGAGGATTCATCCTATCAACCTCTTCTTTCACCTCTCTTGTCATCTTCTTCCAATGCTCAAAAAGCAAAGATGTTTCGTCATCTCCTTAACTCAGTGAGCTCACCAATGGTTACATCAACAGCCTCTTGAGAGACTGTACGCAATGAAAAGGATGCAACTTAAAGCAAAATAAGCAGTGATTTGGAGAGAGAGAGAGTTATGCCAATGGAAGACCATAACTCCCTCCTTACACATGTTCTTCAGCAAATTCGTAGTTTATATCCTTCTACTTCTAAACGGCTGAAATTTTAACAAAAGAAATTAAGAAAAATGCTATTTTTGATAATATTAAACCTCAAAAATAGTAAAATACGCTATCTTTAGTGGTTTCGGACCACAAATAACTGACATTTAGAATAAAGTGTAAGAACCATTCCAAGACGAGATCCTAAATAAGTGAACTACTTCCCATAGATCTCATTTCCATTCAATTCTCTCAGTCAATTCTGTCCTCTTTCTATCCAAAAGCTCACTGAAAAAAAAAACAAAAATCTACTTGTCTTTTAACTTGTTCATTCTAAAACATGAGCAGATATCTTTAGTTTTTTATGCAATATGTATGAACCCAAGATTGGATCGCTCAACCGATAAAAGATGGGATAAAGCTCATGTCCAATCCAAATTCGAATCTCCACATGCGAAAAAGAGATCGTGAGAGCTTAACAAAACCCTAGACGCTCCATGTGAGGCAAAGTGAGGGCACGTATATGCATGCTCTTGAGCTCATTGCAAAACCCTACGCTTTATAGTTTTTTTTTATGCATTGGGAACCCCGCCTGCTATGAGCCTGACTAGCAGACGAGCAGATCAGAGGAAGTGAAACGATGGGGAATCGAACCCCACACCTCATGGATTTTATCCCATGCTCTCAACCACCTGATCTGGGGTTTTTCCCCCTTTATAGTTGTTTCACATCTCGGATATATTCAAGTTCGTTTATTTTGATTTTAAGAAAACTGTAACTATTCGGATTTTTTTGTTTTTCAAAACTCAAAAGAAATCTATAGCCGACATATAGCAACAAAAAGAAAAATCGTTAGTAGATAAAAAGAAAAGTCACTTCAATTGTTTAAAAAGGACAAGTCATTGGTCTAGAAAAGAAATCTATTACTTATGAATTGTCATTTGGATTTGATTATTAAAAAAAAAACTCGAACAATATATAATTATATAAATCAAAGAAGAATTTAAAAATAAACTTTTTGAAATATAAAAGTAAACAAAAAATAGAATAGAAATAAAAATAGATTTTAAGAATTTATATTTTCTTCATAAAAATTTAATTTGAATAGAATTAAAATATAGCCAAGGAAAATCTAATAGATATGTGTTCTAAAATAAAAAATAAATACTAAAATTATCAAACCAAAATAAATTAACACAAAAATCATATTTGAAAATGAAAAAACAAGTCTTAGGCGAGAGCTTCATAGATTTATCAAGTACATTAGTTGGTGAAGTCGGGACAAAGACAGGTTCATCGGCATTATTGTCTTAACTGAAATTTTCCAATTACAGAAAGAATTGATAAAGTGTTTAACCGAAATTTCCTTAATAAGGAAAACAATTTTTACATTACGTTAAAGTTAGGTTGTTAATATAATTCCATAAATTCACTCAAATAATAATAATAATAATAATAATAATAATAATATACTAATAATAATGAAAAGTTGGTGGTTTCGTCACATTTCTAAACTTATTAGTACCGTTACATAAAACTAGAAAAGCTTTTACTGGTGTATTATTTTAAAGATATTGCACATTGATTTATATTACATTCTATTATATCTTGTTATATATATATATTTAGAAGAAAAAATAGTTTAATCACATATTTTCATTTTTCATTATTTCTGTATTTGATTCCAATTCAATACACATTCAATTAATTCAATCTTACACAAAATATATCTAATGTTTTCTAAATAAGATTAACTCAAATATAAATATAGAGTATTTTATTATGTTATACAATTATTATTATTTAATTATATTTAATTCGAACAGTATTATAGGGTAGGAAAAGAAGTGTAATATGAGTGTGAATTTCCCCATGAAGTCAATACAATACAAATAAAGAATTCCAGATATAATTAAAGACATAAAGTTATTGTTTTTTATTATATATATATATACATATTTTACAAGACAATAGAAGAGTATTGAAAATATTGCATAATATCATACGCTTTCAAGTTTCAACATCTAAATGTATATTTAAATCAAAAAAAGGAATGGTAAGAATATTTTATTTGAAAATAAAACCAGATCGAGGTGATTTTGCCTTGCCAATTCAATACATCTCTCTGTGTGTATACATATATATATGTATATATGTATGTATGTATATGTCAACTCATTAAATCAGAACATTATTGAACGAGATGCCGATTCAAATAAAATAAAATATGTATATTCATAGTTATGCGAAGTTTCTCGACTATGAAAAATCGTGGGACCTCTCTCTCTCTAACTTTTCAGAAAAAAATATTAAATCCAAATTAAGTAAATATTATTACAGACATTTTCAATCTAATATATATTCTGAAAATTTTCCAAATTGTAACTTTTTTGATAAACACAAATAGATTCTTCTTGCTTCCAGAAAAAAAAAAAAAACTATCTTTTTTTTAATCTATAGAATAGATTTCAAACCGTTTAGTATCAAATGAAAATTCGTAAAAACCTTCAAATATAATATATATATATAATATATATATATATAATATATATATATATATATAATATTCCTCTTGTTGTGTTGAGTACTGTGTTGCAATGAGATCGTAATAATGCGTCAAAAGTGGAATTCCACACAGCCCATCACACGGACGCCATTGTCGTCTTAGGTTTTGTCCTCTGATTTCCCCCCCGACCCACTTTCAACTTTCGAGCTCCGAGTCCCAAAATAGACACAGATTCGGAGTTTCGGACACCGTCATTGATAAAGGCGAAGATCAAAACTCCATTACGCGTTTCCTTGTTCCTTCAGAGACAGTGCCCTCTCCAAGCTTATGCGCGAATCCCCAGAATCTGACACGGAATGCGTGACTGAGACGATCCAGTTTTTCTTCTTTCAGGTACGTCTCCGATTCTGCTTCTTTTTTTTATAAATCGAACTTGTAGGAAACTTGTTGAATCATCTTCTTTTCTCTCTCCCGAATCTTTGTTGTGTAATAATTGATGTATATGTCTTTTGTTATTACCGTAACCGGTTTGCCGGATTTCATGTTCTCCCGACACAACAGGAGCTGGTGTTGGAGCACTTCTTACGACTCTGTTTCTGGAGAAACCCATCCGGCAACAACGCTGATTCTCTTGGCGTATTTGCCGTTATCTTTGTCTGATTGGATTCCAAAACTGCGACCATATTAGCTGTGAGATTGGTCAGGTTATAGGGAAAAAACGAGGTTTTTTGGGTAGACCTACAAGGAACTGTGGGTTGCAGAAACCGATCCTGTCTAAAATGATCTTTAGCAGTGGCTTTTCGATGCAAAACCGCTGTTTCCGTGTCTAGGTTTAGTGGTAGTTGAGTACATTGGAACTGGTTTTCCTGTTCGAGGAAAGAATTGAGTTTTTTGGGTAGACCTACAAGGAACTGTGGGTTGCAGAAACCGATCCTGTCTAAAATGATCTTTAGCAGTGGCTTTTCGATGCAAAACCGCTGTTTCCGTGTCTAGGTTTAGTGGTAGTTGAGTACATTGGAACTGGTTTTCCTGTTCGAGGAAAGAATTGAGGGTTATTTCCTTAGATACAAGGGCTGGTTTGATGGTGGGGATGGAGGAAGGGAACAAGGAGAATGCTGCATCATGTCCGAATTCGAGATCTAATAACCAATCTCGGGTATTTTTCCCGATCCGGGTGCTTCAAGTTTTGCTGCTGTTCCTCGTTTTGGCTCTTGGGTTCTCGGTCATCAGCATGAACATGATGAAGTACTTGAAAATCCAACATTTGGCTCCAGTCATGCCCACCACTTTCATCTCTTTCTACGACGAGGGCGTTGATTTGGAGAGCTTCATAAGACCTCCTTCGAATCTCCGGCACTCCATGAATGACAGCGAGCTGCTATGGCGTGCCTCCTTGGAGCCACGGATAGGGAATTATCCATTTAAGAGGGTTCCGAAAATGGCATTCATGTTTCTGGTTAAGGGGCCTTTGCCTTTCGCTCCACTCTGGGAGAGGTTCTTTAAAGGGCATGAGAGCCTGTTCTCGATATACGTTCATGCCTTGCCGAATTATAAACCAGATTTCCGGAGCTCATCTGTTTTCTACAGAAGGTTCATCCCAAGTCAGGTGCCGGAATTAACAACGTTCAGTCGATATTCCCAACTAATGCTTCTTGAATCTTCAATCTTTGTTTTTGTCTGCATAAATTTACTGTGGTCTGTCTTAATAGATGAGATTTGGCTCTAAATCACCTTATTTCTCTTCCTATAGGTCGTGGAATGGGGAAGGATGAGTATGTGCGATGCTGAAAGGAGGCTTCTGGCTAATGCCTTGCTCGATATATCTAACGAGTGGTTTGTCCTGCTGTCTGAAGCATGCATTCCTCTTCACAACTTCAGTTTTATCTACAGCCACATTTCGGGATCGAGGTATAGTTTCATGGGTTCGGCTGACGAGGAAGGACCTGACGGGAGAGGTAGATATCACCCGGGAATGGAACCCGAGGTCACTCTCAGCCAGTGGCGAAAAGGGTCTCAGTGGTTCGAAATCAACAGGAAACTCGCCGTCGAGATTATTCAGGACACTACTTACTACCCCAAATTCAACGAGTTTTGCCAGCCGTACCAATGCTATGTCGACGAGCATTACTTCCCGACAATGCTGACAGCAAAATATCCTCACCTTCTGGCTAACCGGACATTGACGTGGACAGATTGGACACGAGGCGGGGCTCATCCGGCCACCTTTGGCAAATCCGACATAACAGAAGCTTTTATCAAGAAGCTGCCCGGATTTCTGGCCTGCCATTACAACGATCAGCCGTCTGAAATCTGTTATCTTTTCGCCAGGAAGTTTGCTCCGAGTGCGTTGGAGCCCCTTCTCGAAATTGCTCCGGCCGTCATGGGATTCTGACAGATGCTTGTTCTTTAGCTGAAAGTGTTTGGATTTTAGAGAAACAACCTCGTTTTTTTTCCTTGGACACAACAGGTACCACGATTTCTTTTTATAGCCAATTCGATTGTGTAGATATTCCCTCTAGTCCAATGCCTAGAGTACCACGAAAAAGGACAGTGAGATTTCTTCCCTTTTTGGTTTGCATTTCATCCTTTTTCACAAGTCTCATGGGTTTCGGCATTTTTATTTGCATAGAACTTAGTTTCAAGTAGAGGTGGCCATCTCGAGTTTTGGTTCGGGTTGGTTATTTCGGTTATAATAATATTATAACCATTCGGTTTTTATATTAAATTCGGTTCAGTTTAATTTTTTTTTTGTTTTCGATTAATTTTTTTGATTCATTTTGGTTTTTTCTAAAGAAATCATGACCTTTCGATTTTTATATAAAATTTGATTCGATTAGTGGTATAATGTTTTGATTATTCAGTTACTTATTACCAAATTGATCAATCCTAAATTTAAGTGACTTTTAGAAGTCCTATTTATTTATTTGTTTATTTGTAATTTATTTTGGCTTATTTATGCAATTATTCCAAGATCAATCTTTTTTTAAGATTCATGAAGTAAAGTATTTAGATCATATCAAAATAATTGAAAACAACTAAATACAATATATGAATTTCATCAACATCATCTCACCGAAAAAAAAAAGCGACCAAACCACAAACAAGAGCTGGATCCAGTTAAAGTAAACATCATCTCAACCTAGGATTTGTTCCAAAGCCAATCACAAGTTCTTCAACTGAATCCTCGGAAACAGTCTGCATCCTCTTCTTCCGGTCGATTTCTGCAGCCAAACTCTCTTTCAGAGCAGTCACCGCCTGGCTCATCGTCGGCCTCTCCCTCGAGCTCCGAGAAACGCAGGCCACGGCTACCTCCATGACCTTTGATGCGGAGTTTGGGTCGTAATCTCCGTCGAGTTTCGGGTCAATAACCTCGTCGATGTTTCCTGTAGAGAGCCGAGTTTCGACCCATTGGCTTAAATGCATCCTCTCTTCCGTCCTCATGATCGCGGGTTTGGCTGTTATGATCTCTAAGAGCACGACCCCGAAGCTGTAAACATCGCTCTTCTCTGTCAGAATGTTCGAGGTGTAATACCTGAGAGAAGACAAGAACAGTGTTATATGGAAATGGATACACATTTTGGATCTATCATGAGACGAATTTCAATAGACGATTTCCGGGTTTTTTCAAATTTACTCGGGATCGACATATCCTGGAGTGCCCGCGATAGCTGTGTTCAGATGAGTTCCCTCTTCCGCATCAAACGCTCTCGAAAGCCCGAACCCGCCTAGCTTGGCATTGAATCTTTCATCCAAGAATATGTTCGTGCACTTGACGTTTCTGTGGATGATTGGCGGTTTGCAACCGGAGTGAAGATACTCAAGCCCTGTAATGGTAGATTCATCACTGTCAGTTGACTCAGTTCAGTCGAAGAGAGAGGACGTTTTCGGTTTCGGTTTCGGACAGAAGACAACTGATTTCATGTGTTTACCCTGCCCGACATCCAGCGCGATCCCGAGCCTATCTTCCCAGCTAAAGACTGTTGTACTGTTCTCTGCAGGAACAAGGAGAGTGACAGGGGAAAATATTACAACAAATGTGAAGTCATTCTTGCAAGAACAGAGACAGATTATGTTTTTCAGACCTGAGATGTAGTGTTTCAAGTTTCCATTCGGCATGTGCTCGTATACGAGGGCCATTTTATCGCCTTCGTTGCAATACCCGAACAGAGTTATCAGGTTTTTGTGATGAATTCTGAAAAGATGTTTCGCCTGCAATTCGATTAATCATTCACATAACTTAATTTCCCGTCTGAAATCGTTTAGAAACCATACCCGGAATGAGCAAAGACATTCAAAGTTACCTCTGCCTGGAGTTGTTTATACCCTTGAGGAGTCGAGGAAGAGAGAAGTTTCACGGTTACTTCCTTGTTATCCAAGTATCCGTGGTAGTTTCTCCCGAAACCTCCCTTCCCTAAATCTGTCTCGAACCCGTTGGTGATATTTACGATTTCAGAATACTTGAACTTCCTCTGTGTCCTGTCCAAATCTAACACATCTAAAGCTGTTTCATTGAACTCGTACTCAGTCATTCCACTCTCTATCCTCGGCAACGATGAACGTATGGAAGCAGTGTCTCTCCGACGTAACGACGGACCACTTGTTGCCGTGACTGTCCTATGAATTGGATGACCTGCAGGAAATAACATTACAGTATTTAGACCATCGTTGTGTAATTTAAGCATGTAGACAGGTGTGAAGGGTACCTCGTTTTCGCCTTCTCGTGAGGAAAAACAGTATTATCGTAGATACAGAAACGAGAAGAAAGAACCCTGCAACTGATGCCAATAATGGAATGACGAATCTCGGAAGTTTCTTCTTCTTCTCGGGCTTGCTTTGTAGAATCTCACAGGAACTTACCGAGCAAACACTAGGATTTCCAATGAGACTGCAATAGGATAAAGTGTTCAAACGAGGCGAGATTAGCCGGAATGAACAAGCAAACACGGTAGATTGCTTGATCCAAAATCGATATCCGTAACTCGTATAGAGGAATCGGGAGGCAAGGAAGAGAAAACGAAGGTATGATACCGTAATGACAAGCCATCCCTTGTTCTTGCAACGAGCTCAGACGGTATAGGACCCGTAAGCTGATTGTTTGACAAATCTCTGCAAAGGCGAACAAAGCAAAGTCATTTGCTAAAACTTAAAGCTATGAAATCCTATCTTAGGCCGGTCCGCTCGAAATTACGCACAGGATCCTCAGAAATTGAAGTTGAGCTAGGAAAGCCGGTACAGGTCCAGACAGATTGTTATTTGACAAGTCCCTGAAAGCCACAAGATCTGAAATTCAGCGTGCAATATCGTCATGGTTCCGGGTTATATTCAACACGAACATGAGAACTACTTACAGAACTTGTAATCGTTCGAGACGTGATATATCGGGAACTATCACTCCTGCCAATCCAGAAGATGACAAGTTCCTGTTTATTCCATGGAGCAATTACAATTAAGAGCCTGACCACTGACTGAAAACCATTCCCCTAGGAGGAAGTGAGAGCGTAATAAGATGATTCTTACAGGGCTACGATTCTAGGCGAGACTGTACCATTGTCGTAACTGCAAGTTATCCCATCCCACGAGTAGGCTCGAGGCATGCATGGATCTCCTTGCCAGTTGCTCTTCTTGATCCGATATGCAGATTTAATATTCATGATAGCAACAACTGAGATCCACAAAGATTATTAGTTGTCGGGCATCAGAAAACACGGAATCCGAAAAAAGATCGGTCGGCCAACGAGAAGAACTTACGATCATTCTGATCGGTGGGAGACTCAGGGAGTTTATTAGCAAAGTAAACCTCCATGGCATTGATAAGTGGTGGGAGAGTTGAGTTCTGTGTCTGAACCACGGAAAAATCGAAGCTTTGATCTTTCAAAGGCGATAGCGTGTACAGGACAGTCGTCCGTAAGTAATTAAGAGTCAATGGTCCGTAGAAAAGTTTCCCGTTTAACAAAATCACTGTTTCTCTTCTTTGGTTGGAATTCAGTTCTTGGAGTTCCGCAAAGTAGAAGTAGACGTAAAACTCGAGCGAAGGATCATCGGGAGACCAAGCAAAGCCTAGAGTGTCTGTAGCATTAGCCGGAATGGCTGCACCTCTCATGACAACCTGCGGAATTCGGAAGCTATTGTTGCCAGAGAGGACGGTATTCGAGCTACTCAACTGCTTCGATCCTTCTGGAATATAGGGAAGCCAAATACGGTCAAAAACATCATCAGGGTACCTGAGAGATTCATCGAACGGATACATGTCACGACCACATAGAGGTATGATCATTCTATTCGGCGAAATAATGGGATAAACTCAAAATGAAATGATTTTCGAGCAAATGCAGAGATCCTGTATAATCACCTGACTGATTGATTCGTTGTAGAACCGAAATCCAAGCGTGCAAAGAGCTGGAGGGAACCGGATTTAGCTGCATACGATGAATTCGGTAACGGACGAAGTTCCAATGCAGATATGAAAGGTGTGCCCCGACCAGTGTTCACTAAACACACCTGTAAAGTTTCCGACGAGGCATAATGTATGATCTCCTTGGATTCGAATTGAGAAACAGAATCCAATTTGACAGTGTCCCACTTATTTGGACCCAGGTGAAGATCGAATTCCGGTATCTCGTTTCTTGAATCGTAGTTTCCATATGCAAATCTTGCTCGTATCAAGTACTTGGTGGTGGTATTGACTGGAAGAGTGTAACAGTTTCTGGCTCCCTCGGGAAAACTTCGAAGAGACTCCATGGCCACAGTCGCAGTTGCTCTGTACTCAGGAGCCACGATCATGCTGATTCCTGTGTCCGTGAACTGTGAATCCGAAACATATTGTATGCCCGTCGAGTTTTCGTCGTAGGTTGAATTTTCCGGCTGTAATCCACAATCTATGCTAATGAATCCTGATACCGAGATTAACACTTGTTTAACTTTATGAATACACGAAGGCAAACATAAATTCTGCAGTATCTTGCAGGTAAATAAGATCAAAAAGAAGAGAGAGAAAACTCTTGGTTGACCTGTTTGATCCTGGCATCTGGTGAGATTGATGAGAGCCAAACAGCAAAGAAACGTCGAGATGAAAGACTTTGGCGCCATCTTCTCTGTTCTTTCAGACAGATGAAACAGGCTTCATCCCCTGAAACACGACAGGTTTCTCCATGGTTAAGAACTCATCCATGGCAAAGCAGAAGAGTTTTTCTTTGATAGTGGTCAACTGTTATGACATCGTCAACTCCAAGCTGGAGGATTATCTAATTATTTCCACTTTCAAAGAACTTTTTATTTTTATTTTTGCATTTGATGTGCGTGCAACTTCTAGGAACCTTAATCTGCAAGTAGACACTAAAATCAAAAGTCAAGAAAGGAGACAGAGTCAACTTGCTCTTTGTTTAAAAGTCAACGGCATAGTAGGCATGGATGGATGGATCAAAGACCTGCATTTTCCTTTGTTTGACCAGCACAAAACAAACAACCAGTTCATATGGGTTCTTTCCCATAGATTTCTTCCATCTATACATACAATCCATTTGAATATAACAACAGCATTCATATTGGCCAATTGCAATAGAAATATCCTGTCTACCCAATTTGTCAGATTTTTCCGGGTAATTCCCCCTTCTTCCATCTGTGAAATGGCAACAACCATCAACGAAATTATGACACCAGAAACATTGTCACCAACATAAGCCTCAGTTTGGATACTATGTGAAACAAGCACCTCTTTCTGTCAGACGACAGGATTGAGTTATGTTCCAAGCTGCGGGGAAGAGTTCCTCTTCTTGGATCATCACACCTGAGAAGTGCCCACGAACAAATGTGTTGGAAAAACCTTGAATCAGAATAGACATGCCGGAGCCTTGGTTCAGTGGTTGCAGATCTTGAAAAAATGGTGAGATCGTGAGGAAACTGGTCATAAGACAAGAACAACGGTGACTTAAAACAAGCATGAATCCCAAGCTGTTGAATCTGGTTTTCATGGTGTGTTAAAGTGTTCTCACCTTGCAAACCGCAACTCCTCACTTCTCCGGTGACTTGTCGGCGGAAAGCGGATGCCGCCGGTAAATTCCTCCGCCGCAATTGCCGGGAAATCCCATCATCAGTCATTGATCCTCCTCTTCCTGGAATACCCACCTCCAAATAAAAACCTTGCGCAAACCCTTGTTTTTGCAATCGATCTCTCTTCTTCTCGATCCCTAAAACCATCCGATTTCAGGCATCGGAGTCTGGGTTCTCTGATGCAAACATCGTTGTCGAAGGGTCGACAACTGTTTTGCAACAGAGTGCAACCTCTCACAGTTCGAATCAGTAACGACGATGAGAAATCCCTAATCCGGAGATGCACCAGAGATCATTGAAAAAAGGTTTACCTTTGCAGAAAGATCTAATCTTTTGGGAAATTCTATGCACAGAGGTCAATGGTTTTATTACCAAAAAAAAGCAATTTATTCACGGTGACACACAAGATCAAAGGTTGTCTTTTTTGGAGCACAAACCCTTTCTCACTTTCACTCCTTCAATATCCAAACAGTGTTTCTGGGTTTTCAAGAAAAACGCTACTAGTTATGGTAGAGACAAAGCATGGAGATTTATGGATCTTGGTCGTTCCAATGAAAAATCACTAAGTTCAGCGAGCTGAAGGGTTGGAATAATTCATGCTCATATCAACAGAGTCTTCATAGTAACCTGTCTCGGTCCTGTCCCGGGTCCTTGCCATTTCCAAGGCCAAACACTCGTTCAATTCCATGACAACATGATTCATGTTAGCTCGACAGCTTTCCAGATCGAGTTGATATCGAAGTCGCTGTACAGTTTCGGATCAATGACTCTTCTGGTGTCTCCGTTCGTGACCATTGAGCCGACCCACTCAGTGATGAGATTCCTCTCCCGGTTCTTGCCGGTTAACCGGTTTGGTCTGCAGTATCAGCTAGTGACGTCAAAATGAGCCAGGCTCGCAAGCTGGCTCGCGGTTGGCTCGTTTTTTATCGAGCTGGGCTGAAAAAATAAAAGACCAAATAAAAACGGGCCGAACGAGCCAGCTCGCGACGAGTCTGAGCCCATCCGGGCTAGCTCGGTCGGTTCGCGAGCCGGCTCACGAGCTACAAACCGAAAAAACTGCTCCCCGCGAACAGAAGTACGCATCCGATGATCCACTTCTCGGGTTTCGTCTCGTGTTTACGGCTGTTCACTGGTGATGAAGCAGCTGCTTGTTTGTGGTGAAGGGTTGTCAAGGGAACTCCCTTGTACATCGTGAGAAACAAAGCTCCTCCTATACATACCAAAGTCCCCACCATCATAGCCATTCCCGCTTTGCTTTTCATGTTTAGCTTTTCAATCCTACAAAAAAGACCCCTCATATATTCAAAATTCAATTTATTGCTATATGCAAAGGAAAAGGAAGAACCTATAATGAGGTTGATATTTGCATAAGTGCTTGAAAACTTTAATTACCAACTAAAGTTTGTGGGACAGTTTTGGTTTTGCAACTCTCATGCGTGGCACATGAAAATAAGGCTGGCTCGAGACGAGCCGGTCCGGGCCGGTCCGAGCCAGCCCGTTTTACATCACTAGTATCAGCATGTCAGTTGAACGGTCCGAGCAAAGAAAGGAGAAATCTTTCTTACCCGGGATCCAGCCACAACGGTCATGTTTGTACATTGAATGAATCGTATGCAGCTTTTTGAAAGGGTTTATATTAGTGGGTCTGGGCCCAGGCCCGTTTATGTCGGCCTGGTTTTATTTGATTAATATTTTCTTATATTTTTCCATTATTTGTTTTCTTTTTTACAAATGACTTGCAAAGTTACCGTCGAGACATTATTGGACAAATATTTCGCCTACATCTGTTATTAAGCAAATTTCCTTATAAGATTCTGCACTAATTATTACAAACTAATCAACTTCGTGGCTTTATTTAATTACACGTTCTTATCTTTTCATCAATGTTTTTTTTTATAACGTGGGAACTCTAGCTGCTACCCTTTGGACACGCTGGATAGGTAAATTCCCGCCCCTATACACGAATCCGCGATATACGATGGGATGTGAATCGACCGTAACCGACGGACGATAGATGCGTTATCAAGGATTCATCAATGTTCATTTGTTTTGCCATATTATCCACCCTTTTGTTTCATCTATATGTATTTTTGAATATTTCTATATAAATTCGTTTTATATAAATTTTTTTTTAAAAAGAATGGTAAATTGCTCTAATTATTTTATGTATTCACTATTCGATGTAACATTATGTGTACTCATGAAGTGGAAGAGCAATAAGAATCATGAAGACATTCTTGTGGGATGCGATGTATAAAATTAATTCGTAGTGAAACGACAGACGGATAAATTTTATTTATCATCGGATCACAAATAATAAATTAATTCCACGTTAATATAAAAATAAATATTTCACCAAGCCATGCAGTATTAAAATATAGAATGATTCTCGAGCAAAATAATCAAATGTTTCTGTTGTCCTGCACTTGGAATATATTACGTACGTCCGCCAATAATTGAATTGATGATCGGATATATATATTTCTATTAATAAGCATATAATTAGATATATATCTCTTTCTGCGTACAAGTATGACCTTGTCCAAATATATTACAAGTATGATGATGCCATGCCACATTTTCCAACTCTTATGTTATCATATTAGACTATTGAAGGTAAGTAGGATCTAAAAAAAATGTTGGGAAAGATAAAATAACGAAATATATATAATGTTACAAATTTTTTTTTATAATATTCTAATTTCAACACCGTAAAAAAGTATAATGGGATGTGTTCTACATCACTATGCATGCATGTCCATGTCGCTTTTTCACATCTTCCAAAACTTAGTGGCGATTTAAGTTTGTCCTACACATAAGATCTTAGAACATGTCGACAATTTATGGATTTAATTTTCAGAATTTTCGTAAGAATTTTTTTTAGGAGTCGGCGGTCAACCATATGGCGATGTAATATCGTTGTCCCACGATCTCGAAAACAATTGGGCACCGACGTGTGCCGCCGTTCACGTCCAAAAAAAAAAGTTTTCTTTAAAAGGGGCCCAAAAAAAGGAAAATTTAACCATTAGAGTTGAATTTTTTAGAAAAACACAAAATTGATTATTATGTTTACAAGATGAGGAATGCATCGACGTGGACAAAATTTTATCGAGTAATTTTGATATATATTTTGAGTAATTTTAACTATTTTCAATAGGAAATGGACAAAAAGGAATTGATGTATATTCAGAAAAATTTAATACTAACAGTCTAATACAACACATAACCAACCAATTAGAACATTTTCACAAAGCTTGTAATTTTAAGTTAGATTTTCTATTAACAAAAAATAACCATGTATCAAATTAATTTCAAATGTCGTGAAGAAGATTTGACGAATTTCTATGAAGTATTGATATTAATAAATAAGCTAATTATAGGTTATAGTCACGGAGAAGTGGGTAATTAACTTAAACAAAAGATGCGATGAGCGGGGGAAACCCCCAGGTGAGTTGGTAGGAGCACATCCCACATACTCAGAGGTTGGGGGTTCGACTCCAGCCGCTCACCTGTCGCCTGTCAGTTACGGCTGATTTACCTCCTACACGTGTGTTGTAGATTCGTGCGTGTGGGCTTGGGTTTACTCGTACTCCGCGGGCCCGAAGGGCCACCGCTGTGACCCCTTGGTCAGCGAGCCAACGACTGCGCCAAAGGCTACGTCACAGGCCACCGCTGTGATCGGGGGTTAGCGAGCCCAAAGGGCTACGCTGGTGGTTGAGGTTCCCAATGTATCAAAAAAAAAAAAAAATGCGATGATATTAAAATTAAACGGTCAACGGTTTCTGGAAGCAGTAACTATGAAATCTTCCGTGGAGATTCTTCGCGTATACATTTCAATTATACAATGCTCACCATCTTCTCTTCTTTACGATTGAAGGCCCAAAAAAATAAATAAAAAAGGGTATTATTATTATTATTATTATTATTATTATTATTATTATTATTATTATTATTATTACTTTGACCAGAACTCTGTCCGGTCTTGGTGGGTGTCTTTGCTCGGCTTCACTTGTCCATGTCGGAGTTCCTTCCCCAGCCAATATCTTTTCTTCCCTGTTTCCCCTTAATTTTTTGCGCGTTACGAAACGCGTTCACAGAGTACAGTTAATTAAATAAAACATCTTTAATAGAAAATAGATAAAATCTCTACATATACATCACACGTGTAAACCATTATCAGTTTGATAGATAATTTAGTTTTTTAGTATAATTTAATTTGATAATGAATACAAGATATAATTTAAAATTTTAACTAAAATATTATTATAATAATAATATAATAAAAATTCTAACATTATATTTTTTTAAATAATTACCAATTAATGTGCTAAAAATGGATTAATTTAACGACAGAAATTTGCATTTTTACCATGATCTGTTGATAAAAAAAGGTTTACGTCATAGTTGAATGGTTATAAAATCTCCAATTTAATATAGAAAACACTAAAAGATTTGTTAAAAGAGGTATAAATATAAATTATTGTAAGTGAATATTATGAATATAGTTTGCCAGAAAAAAATATTATGAATATATATATATATATATAATCTTCTAGACTATATAATATTTTTATTATTTTGGAATTATATATATATATATATTGTTTAGCAATAAAAATATAATAATAAGCAAATTTTAATATAATATCTGAATTGTTTCGTCTAGATAACCATCAGTTGCACCTAAGCTGATAAACCATGCAATTACATAATGTCAACTTGATGCATATTAATTATTAATAACGGTAATTATAATTTATTCTACTTTGCTAAACCTAAACGACATAAACCACGCAATTACGTGTGAATTTACTCCCACAGTTTAAATTCCAATTAAACCATTTTTTTTCCACGTCAACGCCTTGACAAAAAATCACCCCTTTCATTATTTGAAATAGTTGACTTTGACGGCTCTTTTTTTTTTTTGTAATAACATCAACTCGCCGAGTTGTACAAAAAAAACCAAACTTGAATTCTTTAATATCCATCTCATCCGCCCTTCTTTAATTCCTCCATTTCTCTCTCTCCGCAGAGGTCACAAGACAAGAACTCAGCAAGAACTGGACAAAAGCACATCAATGGCGTTTTCTCTTTGTCTCGTCTTTCTTCCTCTCGGGATCCTCTCCGCTTCACTTCTTTGTCTTGCCCAAGACCAATCAGGTAACTAACAGAACCGTTTCATTACAACGTTAATCACTTTCCTCCTCTGAAAATGCTGTCTTTTTTTTTTTTCAAAATTCCCGTCGGAATTCTGCAGGATTCATCAGCTTGGATTGCGGCTCGCCGAAGGAAACCAGCTACCGAGAGAAAACGACCAACATTAGCTATATCTCTGACGCGAATTTCATCGACACCGGTATCGGTAGGAGCATCAGAGCTGAGTACCGGACCCAGTTCCAGCAGCAAACTTGGTATTTTTTTCAAGAACAGCAATCTTGAGTTTTAGTTCATCTTGGTCCAGTTCTCGGCATTTCATGTACATATACGTAATACTTTGCCTGCAATGTGTGAGTATATTTAGAAAAAAACAGATACATACAAAGGGTTTGTGCGATTTTTCATGTTCTTGATCTGGTTTCGGACAAAGAGATGATAAAAAAAACCCAGAGTTCTTGTCTTAAATCATTTCACTTGTGAACAGGTATGTCAGGAGTTTTCCACAAGGGACTAGGAGCTGCTACAGTCTGAATCTGACGGCGGGCGACGAGTATTTGATCCGGGCGAGTTTCTTGCAAGGCGATTACGACAACAACACGACCCCTCGGTTCGATCTCCATCTCGGTCCTAATCTCTGGACGACGGTCTCCATCACGAATTCGACAACTCCATCGATCTTTGAGATGATTCATCTCTTGAAGTCAGATCATTTGCACGTCTGTTTGGTCAAGACAGGCGCTTCTACGCCTTTCATTTCCGCGTTAGAGCTTCGTAAACTGAAGAACACGACTTACTTGACTCAGTCCGGATCTCTGCAAACATTTATACGTGCCGATGTTGGTTCAACTTCTGATCTTGTCTTAAGGTCCAAAACCCTGATCATTTTCTTTAACTGTGCATGATAAATCACAGATTCGGAATGCATCTAAAGATATCCGGTTTCGATGTTTTAGGTATGGAATCGACGTGTTTGATCGTATCTGGACGCCGTTCAACTTTCAGAACTGGACACAGATAAGTACCAATAAGACAGTGAGTATTGACAATGACTACCAGCCGCCAGAGATTACGATGAGGACAGCCTCTATTCCGATAGACCCGATGGCGCCGATGAACATAACGTTAACAGGTTTGAATGGAACAGAACTGTTCTATGTGTTCATGCACATTGCCGAGATTCAGGAGCTCGGATCCAACGAGACGAGAGAGTTCACTATTGAGTACAACGGTCGGCGACTTTACGGACCCTTTAGGCCAATTGCCTTGACCACGACCTCGGTATTCACGCCGTTTTCCGTGGGGGCGGATGCAAACGGGCAATACTTGTTCACACTGAGGAGGACGGGGAATTCGACACTGCCACCGCTTCTCAACGCCATGGAAGTGTACTTAGTGAATCTGTTACCTCAGGAAGGAACCGGTGAACAAGAAGGTGAGTTCTTGGATGATATATATACACATCATTCAGATAGAACTATGGACGAATTATTTTGTGAAATTAGATACTTACTTGTAAAGAAAAAATGTATCAGTTGATGCAATGGTACAGACCAAATTGGGATATGGACTGAACAAAATTGACTGGCAAGGAGATCCATGCGTGCCACAGGATTACCGTTGGGATGGTGTCGCCTGCAGTTACAGCGGTAACGACCCGCCAATAATCACGTCTCTGTAAGTCTGTTCTGTCCGTGGCAACCTTTGACCGTGTTCATATTAATGTGTTCAGATCTTGATCTAAACCGGACTTGGAAACAGGAACTTGTCTGGTAATGGATTAACCGGGAAGATACTGGACTCGATAACAGGCCTTGCAAATTTAGAAACCCTGTAAGAAGATGATGCTTAAGCCTCTGGTTTCTGATTATATCCTATGTATATGTGTGTGTATGTGTTAAGGGTTTGGCTTGTTTTTTGGCAGTGACTTGTCTAACAACAATCTGTCTGGCTCGGTACCGGGATTTCTAGCAAGGATGAACACTCTGAAAGTAATGTAAGTGCAGCTATTGCCTTAAGATGAGTATAGGCTTCATATCTGAAGTTTCTTCGTTGCAAAAGAACAGTGGAGATCAGTGTGTTTACCTTCTGTTCTTGAATTCTCTCAGAAATCTCTCGGGAAACAACCTTAACGGTTCGATTCCCGCAAGTCTCCTTGAAAAATCGCAACAAGGGTCGATTACGTTAAGGTAAAAACTTGCTTCTGAATGCTAATCGAAATGTTTGAGAACTTTGGAACTGACTTTTGTCTGCATAACCTCCATGAAACTGCAGCGTTGAGGGTAACCCTGGTCTTTGTTCATCTTCTTCATGTACCCCAAAAAAGAAGAAGAACTCCGCAGTTGTACCCGTCGTTGCATCTCTCGTCTCGATATTCGTCGTTGTTGCCGGGCTTGTAACCTTTCTGATTCTTAAAAAGAAGAAGAAAAACAAGCCTGAATTTAGTGCAGTCTCGGGTACCGGAACAACGCCTTTACACTCAAGTTCACTTCACAGTTACGAATCGAAGAATCGAAGGTTTACTTATTCTGAGGTCTTAAAGATATCAAACAATTTCGAGAGAATCCTCGGTAGGGGAGGGTTCGGGATCGTTTATTACGGTATCCTCGACAACAATCCCGTCGCTGTGAAGATGCTTACCGGCTCCTCAGTCCAAGGATACAAACAGTTCAAAGCAGAGGTAACTGAATATGTTACATAAATCCATGTTCTGTAGTAACCGTAGTAATCCTGATCTTATTCTTAAGCTTGAACTCGTTAATGGATTCTGTCATTAGGTTGAGCTTCTTCTCAGAGTTCATCACAAAAATCTGACGAGCCTCGTTGGATATTGCGACGAAAACGAGAAGTTGTCACTCATTTACGAGTTCATGGCCAATGGAGACTTGAATGAACATCTATCAGGTCGGACTTTATGAAGCATGTTCAGATTCTTTTTAGGGTTTATATGATTGATTCTGAGATTTGACATTTCGATATCGGTTTCAGGAAAGCGTGGACCGTCGATTTTGACATGGGAAGGAAGGCTGAGAATCGCGGCGGAATCAGCTCAAGGATTGGAATATCTTCACAGTGGATGTAAGCCTCAAATCGTTCATAGAGACGTCAAGACGACAAACATCTTACTGAACGAGAAATTCGAAGCCAAGCTCGCAGATTTCGGGCTGTCCCGTTCTTTCCCGCTCGGTAACGAAACCCATGTCTCGACCGTTGTTGCGGGAACACCCGGATATCTCGATCCCGAGTAAGTTCGACAACGATTTCTTGCGGAACACGCAACAGGGAATTCGTTCTCAACGCTTTGATTTCGATTCTCCCGCAGGTACTACAGAACGAACTGGTTGACAGAGAAGAGCGATGTTTTCAGCTTCGGGGTCGTGCTTCTAGAGATAATCACGAACCGGCCCGTGATCGATCAGAGCCGGGAACGAGCTCACATCGGAGAATGGGTGGGATTGATGCTGACGAGGGGAGATATAAACAGCATCGTCGATCAGAAGCTGCAAGGAGATTTCGATCAGAACTCGATCTGGAAAGCTGTGGAAACAGCGATGGCGTGTCTGAACCCTTCTTCCGCTCGGAGGCCGACAATGACTCAGGTTGTCGTGGAGCTCAACGGATGCTTGTCAATGGAGATGGCGAGGAACCAAGGGAGCCGAATGACGGATTCAACCAACGATTCTTCGATCGAGCTCACCATGAATTACACCACTGAGCTTTACCCTGGAGCAAGATGATTCTGCTCTTGTCCAAGTATGTGTGAAATCAAAGTGTTTACAGCAAGGATTCTTTGTGATCATATATTGATACTTAAGTATTAGTAACTTAAAAAAAACTAAATACTTAATTAAATATATAACGTCTCTTAATTACATTGTTTAATTCGGTTCATCATAAAAGATAAAGGATATTATGAACGATATTTATATATAGAATTAGTTTTCTCTACTCATTTTAATATCGAAATCTTATATATTAAGAACAAACCAGATCATATTTAATTTGAATTAATAACAACCTTTATTCTCTAATAATTGATATAAGGTTCAGCCGTATTATATAATTTTTAACGTATAGACCCTATATTTGTTATAAATTTTACGTTTAACTTTATGTCAGTTTTTAATTACCCGCAATCATTATAAATCATTGTCTTTACAGCCATTACAACCACTCGGAACTTTTCATATTATGATAATATATTATTTATCTTAAAAACTTACTGAAATTTATTCGGATGGATACAAAATCCTTCACAAACAAAAAAAAAAAGTTGCTAAAATGATCGGGAAAAAACTTACAACATCGAATCAGCATCACAACCATTGAATACAACAAATTTCTATGTTCCACAAAAAAAAAACAATGCAAATTGAAAGCTTCATATTCTTCATCCATATATATATATATATATGTATGTATGTATATGCACTTAACGAGCCTTAGGGCTCAACTCAGTAGCATAAGTCATGCTCACTTCAATGGAACTCTTCGAGTCCATTTCTCCACTCGTCCCGACCCTCGATTTCTCAGACGCCAGACACTCGTTCAGTTCGATCACGACTTGCGACATGTTCGGCCTTCTCGATGAGGATGGATTCACACACGACATTCCCAGTTCAACCACTTTCCACACCGAGTTCCTGTCGTAATCTCCGTACAGTTTCGGATCCATAATGTTACCGATGTCTCCCCTTGTAAGCATCAGCCCCACCCATTCCGTTATGTGTGGCTTCTCACGAGTTTGATCGATCACTGGCCGGTTCGTGATGATTTCCAACAACACAATCCCGAAACTATATACATCGCTCTTCTCTGTCAACCAGTTTGTCCGGTAGTATCTGCAAGAGCAATATCACATCCTTCTTACCCAAGAAAACATTAACTTCACGGAATTATCATTTGATGGTTTGTGGAGCATTATACTTACTCGGGATCGAGGTATCCGGGAGTTCCAGCAACAACGGTTGAAACATGAGTTTCACCCTCGGTCGGGAAAGACCTGGAGAGTCCGAAATCGGCGAGTTTCGATTGTAAGTGCTCGTTGAGCAATATATTCGTCGTTTTGACATCTCTATGAACCATTGGTGGTTTACATCCGTTGTGCAAGTACTCCAGTCCTACAGACAAATTGAAACGTGATCTCGGTGAGAATAATTGGTAAAAGCAATGGCTAACAAGAAGGCGCTTAGCTAATTGTGATTAGGGTTCTTGTTCAGTTCTCTGAGTTCAAATCCTGCCTTTGGAGTGGTAAGCAAATATCGATATCGGAAAACAAATGCACGAAACACGAACCTTGAGCGGCCTCGGCGACAATCTTTAGTCTAGTTCCCCAATTCAAAACAGATCCACCACGTTTTCCTGCATTTTCAAGCCAAGACATGAATGAAATTCTGAATCTTTTATGTCAGATTAAAAAAACCCGAAAATCTTATCCATTTTCTTGGCGTTTCGGGTAAATTCTGCAAGAAAAAATGTTGTGTTACTGCTTACCGGAGAGATGCTCTTTCAAGTCTCCGTTGGCCATGTACTCGTAGACGAGGGCCAAGTTGTCTCCTTCGTCGCAATATCCGACAAGACTGACAAGATTCTTATGGTGAACTCTCAGTAGAAGTTCGACCTAACAAGCGAAAATCTCATATTTTTCGCTACAAATGATTTGATGACAAAAAATAAAGATATATATGAAGATTTCGGTATAAGTATAAGTACCTCGGCTTTGAACTGTTTGTAACCTTGAGCCGATGACTCAGACAGCATTTTAACTGCGACTTGTTCGGTACCGTTCACATAACCGTGATAGACAACTCCGAACCCTCCTTTCCCGAGAATTCTTTGGAAGTTGTTCGTCATCGCCTGAACTTCTGGATAAGAAAACCTTCTATTTCTCGGTACTATCGATGGTTGAGAAGATTGAGGCGATCTACCGTCCGGTTGTGCATTCACCGATAGAACTCGACCTGCAGAGCATGACTTAGATGTTACAAAACTAACTAAACGGTTCAAGATTTTATAGCTTTGTTACGTTATAATATAATGTTTTGCTGTTTGGTGAATTTTCTTCGAAATACCATTGGCATTTGCTTGCTTCTTCTTCTTGAAAACGAAGAATAGAGCTAGTCCAGCTACGAGGACGGCGAGTACAGAAGCAACCGAAGCCACAACGGGTACCACGACGC